CATGGATATCCATTGCAATCAATCGTGGTCACGTTTTACGTACCTGTTGCCATGGTAACTGTAAACATATTATCAAAATCCCGAACAGAAGGACAAACCCTGTATTCTTTCGTCATGATTCGTGTGTTTATCTTCATTTTAACTTGTCAAGTCGAGGTTTAAAAAAAATACCAAGACTGATGACTTCAACAACCTATTCAAAGGACGCCTCCGCGTTCGCTAGCGAGTTGGGGATTTAGTTTGAACTTTAGTCGGAGAAAATGAATTTTATCTTCTGTAAACACATAACACTCCTGCTGCCGTTTTTGCTCTGAAACTAAATTGGAAGAACAAATAGACCTGGTCTGTAATAGACGCCGACTCAAACTAAATTGGAAGCAAGGATGTTGCGTCTATTAAAGGGGGGCGGTCGGGTAGCCTAGTAGTTAAAGCGTTCGCTCGTCACGCCGAAGACCCGGGTTCGATTCCCGACATGGGTACAATGTGTGAAGCCCATTTCTGGTGTCCCCCGCCGTGATATTGCTAGAATATTGCTAAAAGCGGCGTAAAACCATACTCACTCACTCACTCACTCACTCTATTAAAGGCATCAGCTCATTGCTGTGTGTGAAAACAGAGACATTATTTCAGAAATAAGGTTCACAAATTTTGTTCACACATGACGGCCACATATCACAAATACAGTGTATGAATTGTTCCGAGGTGATTTCAAAATTGAAACTCAGAAATTGTGACATCAAAACATGAACACAGTTTTGTATGGTTACAATCGGAAAAGGCAACACACTGGGTCAAATAAGTGGCATCCGCAATAGGTAGCAGGCCCTCTGATATATGTCAGTGTACTCACGAATATCCAGAATTTGTCACGGTCGAATGCCTTGAAAGAGGCCCGTGGTCCGTTCTCGAATCCGGCATAATGTTGGAAGCTGGCAGGAAGTCGGTGTTTTCAGAGAGGTGCCGAATCCGCACTTGGCAAATATATAAGACGCTGTATATAGGCCGTAAAAGGCCACGGACCGCCCTCGTGTCGCTCTTATATTGGTCAAGCTAGCCTCCTAGAAACTATGATATCTCGGACGATCAAGCTGACCTTGGTTAAATTGCCAACAACCAAGGGAGGTAACTCTAAATCCCACTTTGCAACCTGGTCACTACACCATTCGATATTTTACGAGCGTTTGAGTCTTTAGCTGCCTCTGTCAATCGCGACACGTAAACTTACGGTATGTCGGGAACCAAGGGTAGATGCGTCTATCGAAGTCGCACACACCCTCTACCTGCTCTGTGCACGCGGGTGTGAACCCACACTGCACTTTAAACCCACACTGCTCTCAAATACCATGTGTTTCACTGATTTGTTTAATAATGTGAGCAGTATGCGGTGGGGGTACAGGGTTCGGGGGTGGGGGGTGGGGGTGGGGGTGGGGGTGGGGTGGGGTGGGGGTGGGGGGGGGGGGGGGTACAGGGGTACAGGTTCTGTGATCAACTGTCAAAGGGAGGCGTTTCTGTGTAATTAAGCTAATCATTGGCTTGTGATCCACCGCCGTGATTTTGCTGGAATATTGCTAAAAGCGGCGTAGAACCATACTCACTCACTCACTCACTCTATTAAAGGCATCAGCTCACTGCTGTGTCTGAAAACAGAGACCTTATTTCAGAAATTAGGTTCACAAATTTTGTTCACACATGACGGCCACATATCACAAATACAGTGTATGAATTGTTACGAGGTGATTTCCAAATTGAAACTCAGAAATTGTACAGGGTTCAGGGGGTAGGGTACAGGGGTACAGGTTCTGTGATCAACTGTCAAAGGGAGGCGTTTCTGTGTAATTAAGCTAATCATTGGCTTGTAGACTACTTCAAGATATCACCAAAAACGTTTGTTTGTTGTTTGACGCCGCACTCAACAATATTCCAGCTAAATGACGGCGGTCTGTTAATAACAGCTAAATGACGGCGGTCTGTAAATAATCAAGGTCGACAGCAGACATAATGAGCATGGATCTCTCTCTCTCTCTCTCTCTCTCTCTCTCTCTCTCTCTCTCTCTCTGATATGATTTAACTTGAATAAAGCCGAAACACAACATTCAACCATTCAATACTCACAAAGATCGTTAATATTTAATAAAACTGACGGAAAACTAATTCAGCAGGTTATCATTATGAACATTACGAGAGTTTTATATCAGAATTACGGTCTGGAGCCCATGCATCAGATCAATATATACCTACTTACATACAATGAACACTTCCCGCGAGGGCACCATCTGCTCCAGCATATCAATACTATATACCTGATAGCCCAGAACAACGCAAGGCTTTGATTGCATGGTTGCGTTTGCGTGGGCTGATACTATTGTTTTCATGAACATTTATTCGCAACCAGACACTACATACCATACCTGTCATATAGTTCCGGCAGTTGTAACCGCTGTACAGTGCTCACTGCTTGTTGTGAGATCCGACTGATGACGGTTTGGTACTGCCAGTGTTAACTGATGCATGTTATATTACCATGGTGGCACGTGCATGTTATGAACCATTGGTCTGCATGGCCTTGACTCTATCAATCTCATTAAAATCAGATCTTAGTTCTCGCTACAGCTAAACAAAGATCTGAGGACATCCCATTACGGCTCACGTCAGACCGACCTTGTGCGAACTTTGACCGACCAATGGAATGACCAATCAGAAGGCAGCTTTCTCGTGCTTTACGGCACTAATTTCAAATTGGCGACTACGCTTCGAAACATATTTTGACAAATTCTCGATTACAAATTTGAAACCTGAACAAAAGAACATTCTGGAATGGCTAATAGATGGTCTAGATTGTATGGATTCAGTCGTTAAACCCGTAACTATCGTTCGGAGTTAAACTTTTCGAGGTTGCATGATTAGAAATCACATTCCGACTGTCACTTTCATAATCTGGTAAGCGATGCTCTGATTGGTCGGATGAAAGGTCGTTCTGACGTGACCCCTAATGGGATGTCCTCAGATCTTTGCTTAGCGGTAGCGAGAACTGAGGTCTGATTTTAATGAGATTGTGACTCTATTAATATATTGGCCGTATGGACCTGGATTGTGATTAATACGTAGACTAGTAAGTCTAGAAAGTCATCACTGAGTGATCTCGTGGCTGTGACAATCCCTCCATCGCCTGGAGCATGTATACCCATATCACACCGACTTTGCAAGCCATTCCGATTGGTTGGCGTTGTAACGTTGGACGTGAGGTTAAATAGCGGCAACTACATGTGTAAAGAGGTTGTGTTTCGTTTTATTTTATTTTAGAAACAACCTGGACTCGACTTGATGTCTTTATGTTGTTTACTAATCAAATAACCCCCTCCAGCCCTTTTTTTCTGCAATAACTCTTTAATACATTATTGTCAACAGCAGTATTCGCAAAAAGCCAAACAGCACTGAGCGATCACGTGACTAGAGTTATATTAATCGTGGTTTGTCGAGTGGTACAAATCCATTACGGCCACCGTAATGCATCAATATATCTTATACTTCGCTATTGTGTGATTATTAAATAGATTCTCAATCATTACGAGGCTATAACTCTTATTTCAACACACACTGTCACCAGACTGGGCCCTATCTATGACGTATTACCTACGTATATACATCAGTACAGGAATGTGAATCAGTGGTGTGATCCGAGGCAGCTGGTACACGGCATCAACACATGCAGATGTAAAGTAGGGCGATATGTAATCTTATCCATTCCCTTGAATCACGACACTGAGTGAGTAAGTATGCTTTTTCCGCCACTTTTAGCAATATTCCAACAATATCACGGCGGTGGACACCAGAAATAGACTTCACACATTGTACCCACGTAAGGAATCGAACCCGAGGCTTCGGCGTGACGAGCGAATGTTTTAACCACTAGCCTACCCCATCACGATACTTAACGCAATTTAAGAAATGACTGTCCTGAAGGCAATGACAATGTTGGGTTCAATAATGACGGTACCGTGTAGCCATAGTCTCTTTATCATGAACAGTTCATGTGAACGAAATACGTACACTGGGTTTGAAACAAGTTTCACGGTATTGGAAATTATCACCAGAAACAACTCATGGCGCGTTCTTCAGTGAGGGTAAAGTGTATCTGATGATATTCTGTAGAAAATACTCGCTCTTATGTTGTATAAACAGTTTATGAAGTTATATATAAATATATATAAACAAAGTTAAAGAAGTATATTGATACATTTATACATTTTGTCAACATTGATGAACTTACTAATGACGCTTTTAGACTATCATGATTATGCTGAAAGATCGTTTTATATGGCCAATGTCAACCCACACACTCATCAGCCACAAACTCATCCAAACCAACAAAGCAACCCACTCACTCGCCCATCCACTCATTCGCCAATCCACTCGCAAAGCCACACACTCACTCGCCCATCCCCGTTTTCGCCAATCCTCTCGCCCAGCGACACACTCATTCGCCCATCCACTCATTCGCCAATCCACTCGCCCAGCCACACACTCATTCGCCCATCCACTCATTCGCCAATCCACTCGCCCAGCCACACACTCACTCGCCCAGCCACACACTCACTCGCCCAGCCACTCATTCGCCAATCCACTCGCCAAGCCACACACTCACTCGCCCAGCCACTCATTCGCCAATCTACTCGCCCAGCCACACACTCACTCGCCCAGCCACTCATTCGCCAATCCACTCGCCAAGCCACACACTCACTCGCCCAGCCACTCATTCGCCAATCTACTCGCCCAGCCACACACTCACTCGCCCAGCCACTCATTCGCCAAGCCACACACTCACTCGCCCAGCCACTCATTCGCCAATCTACTCGCCCAGCCACACACTCACTCGCCCAGCCACACACTCACTCGCCCAGCCACTCATTCGCCAATCCACTCGCCAAGCCACACACTCACTCGCCCATCCACCCACTCACACACCAATGTAATGCCAACTGATGCGTCTCCTCTCTCCCCAGGATGTGTCCACACAGACAGACATTACCTCGGAGTCCATAATCGTCGCCATCCCCAAGTCGCTGCTGATGAGGAATAAAAGTCAACGCTACTGCCTGGACCAGGGTTCGTTCATGGACTCGGTGCTTCATCGCGCCCTCAGCATGGACAGCCTCAGCCGCAACTACATACCCCAGGGCAACTTCAACTGGAGGTCGTGCGTCACCATGCTCGGCGTCAGCATCCTTCAGCAACTCATTCACATATGAGAAACACTCGGATCCACTCGGGTCGTCTCGGGTCCACTCAGCTTATTCCGCTACCTACATATACCCAGAGCAGCTTTTGTATCTGACAATTTGAATGTCTTCACGACAGGTTTTGTTGTGTGATGTGTCACGTGCACGAAAGTAGTTCCAATATGGTGCTGACTGAGGTCTTCTTGGACGGAGTCGAGTAGGCCAAGTTGTTTGAGCGGTTGTCTCCCCTTAAGAAAGTGTTAATGCCACCGAACATGACGCCATGGAAACAATCATGACATGGAATATTATTCTGTACAGTGAACAAAGGTGAAAAACTGTTTGAAACAGGATATACGTGTGAAAGGGTTCTTCGAACGAGTATTATACATTGCCAGTGAATGTATACAAAGTTACATATGCAGTTTTATGGATTCAAGAACCGCATCGTTCAATAGTTCCCCCAAACTCCTAATCTACCACAACGCTGGTGACGATGTCTTGAACACAGAAAGGGTATTTTGAGAGCTCGAAACATTCCTTTAGATGACGAGGCTATTTTCATTCTAATCCTTCGAGCCACGAAAACCTGGAGGATAGGTGAGATTTCAGGTAGACCTGACGCTTTAGGCGTGGTGTCTACATGTGGGCGAAAGACGGCCCCAAGAGAACTGTGTTTCGGGCGCCGCCTTCATCACGTCGCTGTCGTTGAAGGCGGAGTATGCAGGACACCCTTCACCTTCATGTTGTGTCCACCATTTCGTATGAACGTTCATATATGGTATGCAATGTACCCAGCTTACCTAATGTACCCAGACACCAACCCCCTCCCCACCAACGGTACCTGTGTCAGATGACCTCATGTACCCAGACACCAACCCCCCCCCCCCACCAACTGTACCTGTTTCAGCTGACCTCATGTACCCAGACACCAACCCCCTCCCCACCAACTGTACCTGTGTCAGCTGACCTTATGTACCCAGACACCAACCCCCTCCCCACCAACTGTACCTGTGTCAGATGACCGTATGTACCCAGACACCAACCCCCTCCCCAACAACGGTACCTGTGTCAGCTGACCTGATGTACCCAGACACCAACCCCCTCCCCCGCCAACTGTACCTGTGTCAGCTGACCTGATGTACCCGGACACCAACCCCCTCCCCGCCAACTGTACCTGTGTCAGCTGACCTGATGTACCCAGACACCAACCCCCTCCCCCGCCAACTGTACCTGTGTCAGCTGACCTGATGTACCCAGACACCAACCCCCTCCCCCGCCAACTGTACCTGTGTCAGCTGACCTGATGTACCAAGACACCAACCCCCTCCCCACCAACTGTACCTGTGTCAGCTGACCTGATGTACCCAGACAGCAACCCCCTTCCCCACCAACTGTACCTGTGTCAGATGACCTGATGTACCCAGACACCAACCCCCTACCCACAAACTGTACCTGTGTCAGCTGACCTGATGTACCCAGACACCAGCCCCCTCCCCCGCCAACTGTACCTGTGTCAGCTGACCTGATGTACCCAGACACCAACCCCCTCCCCACCAACTGTACCTGTGTCAGCTGACCTGATGTACCCAGACAGCAACCCCCTTCCCCACCAACTGTACCTGTGTCAGCTGACCTCATCAACCCAGACACCAACCCCCTCCCCACCAACTGTACCTGTGTCAGCTGACCTGATGTACCCAGACACCAACCCCCTCCCCACCAACTGTACCTGTGTCAGCTGACCTCATGTACCCAGACACCAACCCCCTCCCCCGCCAACAGTACCTGTGTCAGCTGACCTGATGTACCCAGACACCAACCCCCTCCCCAACAACGGTACCTGTGTCAGCTGACCTCATGTACCCAGACACCAACCCCATCCCCCGCCAACTGTACCTGTGTCAGCTGACCTGATGTACCCAGACACCAACCCCCTCCCCGCCAACTGTACCTGTGTCAGCTGACCTGATGTACCCAGACACCAACCCCCTCCCCCGCCAACTGTACCTGTGTCAGCTGACCTGATGTACCCAGACACCAACCCCCTCCCCCGCCAACTGTACCTGTGTCAGCTGACCTGATGTACCAAGACACCAACCCCCTCCCCACCAACTGTACCTGTGTCAGCTGACCTGATGTACCCAGACAGCAACCCCCTTCCCCACCAACTGTACCTGTGTCAGCTGACCTCATTAACCCAGACACCAACCCCCTCCCCACCAACTGTACCTGTGTCAGCTGACCTGATGTACCCAGACACCAACCCCCTCCCCCACCAACTGTACCTGTGTCAGCTGACCTCACGTACCCAGACACCAACCCCCTCCCCCACCAACTGTACCTGTGTCAGCTGACCTCATCATGTGCCACGAGTCACCTGCTTGCTTCAGTTTCGTCCTTTTCGAAAGTGTTGATACAACACGTGGTGATAGAAGCTTGCTTTATTAGGATAGTGCGGAAGTGCTTTACATGCGGGTAGTTACCCTAGACGCATGTTTCAAGACTATAGCGCATTCAGAAACAGGAACATCAACAACCTTTACCCAAGCAGTCGATGCAAGACTTGCCCAAGTCTTCTTGGCAATTAATGTGGCTCAGTCTAAAATAATTGCCATTGTCATGGGAGACAACCTCTCGAGAATTTTCTAACCAAACCCCATGAAGCCTAACACAATTCCCCCCAAACTTGGCTCTGTCCTGGTGAGACATCTGAGAAGGACGCTTGCAGGGAGGGGATGTGGGTCGTCCTGCTGACTGAGGGACTAGGTTGACATGTGATGGGACAGACCAAACAGAATTGGGCAAGTCTAAGTCGCTACCAGAGAACAGGTGCCCGTCGAGTGGTCAGTACTGACCGGTTGGGTCCTTGTGTAACTTGTGGTGTCCTGACAGACGTTGAGTCGGCTGACCTACTGGAATAGCCTTGTGCATGAAGCGTTCGTTCTTCATGCCGTATACCTGGGTTCGATTCTCAACATGGATACAACATGTGAAGCTGATGTCCCCGCAATATTACTAGCATTTGCTACAGGCGCCGTTTAACCGCAGACTCTCACCTTTATCGTCCATCGTGAGCGCCGAGCTGATATGTTGAGTAATTAGCGATCTTCGTGGTGTATGTCAAAACATTGTGTGACGCTTAGCGTCATGACTGACATTTGCTGTGGAAAATACTAGTTGTGGTGAATGAAAAAACTAATATGTATGCCTCTTACAGAGACCATATACCGGCATGGTCTACGCCTCTATATGTAATCTTCCGGAGGCAAGAACGTCCACTAGCCTTATTATCAAAGCCTTGTTTCCACCCTTGCTATAATACATCAAGCCCACTTTTCTGTGCTAAATATGATTGGACTATCGCACATGTCGACAGTCCAATGAGAGAACCTTTTTACAAAATCAACATACACGACTGGTACGCTTTCGTATGAAAGTGATTTGCCGCGGCCTGTCTTTGATGACACGAATATGTCTTTTTCATCTTTTAAACCCCCCAACGAATTCTATGTTTTTGTGTCAGGGATGAAATCGCGAATGTTTCGCTATCTGATCGACTAGGTCGTCGCCTATGGTAGTCGCCATCTTTGTGAAGCTATACGAAATAAGAACAACGATCTGATTGGATATCGCGTTTTCATTACAAGGGACACAACTCGTGATCGTGAGGTGGCGTCAGGGTCGAGCCAAGAAATGTGGCCTTAATGTGGCAAGGGTAGAAACTAGGCTTTGGTATAGGCTAGTGGACAGGCTTGCCTCGGGGAGATGCTATTTGTAAGTTTTATGATCACAAGGCGGCGAAGGAGATGACTGTTGTGTGCACTGACTGTGACAACCGTAGTGATTGCTTCATGTATACATTGGGAGCATCATTGCAGCTGATGGGAAGTACTGTAGGCCTGGATTTTTTTTATAGACGATCTGCACCTTCTCAACGCTATTTTCTAATATTCACAAACACAAAAAAAGGTCTTGTCATTAAATGGACATTTGACTTTGGGGAGCGGCCTTCATATTTTCATATTCTACGTACATGTAATCAGATAAAAGTCTTCTTTTTTTCGGACGAGCCACGATGAACAAGATGCCTGGATCGCTGGTATCTACGATGGTTGATAGGTTCCAAGCCTCATATGCTAGATTATAATACCCGGAAAGTGTAAATTCCATTATCACATAAACTTTGGCAATGAGGATAAGATAGTATCAGCTTCTGATAGAAAACACGTCTTGTGATAATCGCGCTCTGTTGGAAGCTGACCAGAAAGGTTCTTGTAACAATTTGTGACTATGGATGACACTTTGGTTCACAACTTCCAGCCTGAGTCCAAATGAGTACATATGGCATGAACGACGGAATATGCTTTAAGGTTGAACTTGCGTACATTAGATAAATAACATGCTAAACGTCAGTATTGTACACTTGTATTTAGGACATTGTTGAAGCAGCTGTGATACAAGCTATTTGTCTTGATATGTGTAATAGATCATAAATTACGTGTGCCGGAATGACACGAGCAGTTACGAATGAGTTACGTAAAATTGTTTCCCATTAGTGACCAACTCGTGCCATTCCGGGACAAGCCTTCGTAAAGCATTCGTGACCAATTCGTGTTATTCCGAGACAAGCCGTATATTTTTGCAGGTTACGGAAAGGGGCGAGTGGTGACGAATGTTCGTAAAGGTTACGGAAAGATGCGAGTTGTGAATGTGCGTTTACATGGATATTCTTCTTAGGTGCAATCTCAGCAACAGTATAATCGTATGACGTAACGGATATAGAAGTTCAAGCAAATGAGAGCATTGATGCTGTTTGGTGTGAAGGATATGAGCATCTGACTGGGTTGTGAAAAACTGGTATATGGCGTTATACGGGTAAACACGAGTATATGTTGTAACGAGCAATCATTGTTTTTAAATTGTGTTTATTGTACACGTGAGCAAACATTGTTTTCAAAATGTGTTTATTGTACACGTGAGCAAACATTGTTTTCAAAATGTGCTTATTGTACACGTAAACCTATATCACTTCGTGTAACATGAAGAAGTCAGTTTCTCGAAAAAATGCATAACATGCACTTTAGTTATTTTTGGTTGTTAAAAAAAGTCTTATTTCTCTAATGTATGTGCAAAGTTTTAAGGAACCTGTGCACTGAAACGTACAAATTAAGTACTAATGTTATGTTAATTAATCCTGTCGTGTTGAAATTTCCTACTTTGGTGTGGATTGATTTTACGGCGATTTATATGTAGTTGTTTATGTACCTATATTAAACCCGTTGGTACGGACATTACTTTGTTCAGTCTCGCGAGGGCACGGGTGTTCCAGTCGTCTGATTTGGTGTGCAGAGTTGCGTCCCTTAGGCACACCAGAAAACTCTAACTATGGCTTCGATCCAGGTTTGTCAACACCATACCAGTACTCATGGGTGTCACAAAATTGGTAAACGTCTGAGACCTGCATCACTTCGGGCTTTCCTCTCACATTAAGCTGACACGCCGTGATATAACAGGAATACGTTCAAAGCGGCGTTAAAACCGACTTACTTACTCAGTGGCCTCACGTGTGAGGGGAAGAATTACGCCTATAAAATGGAAAAAAATACTTTTGAGTATCTATTACTTGAAGAGAGACTTGTCAAATTTGAATCGTCATTCCAAAACCACGACCTTTACCTCCAAACTGACATTTTATGTTATATATCAATATTGATGATAAGCCTGACTGCATTAATTCCAACGTCTTGACCTTGACATACATTGGCACCAGATGGTGGAGTATTGTCTCCCTGTAAGAGCTGTGCACGCAATGAAGACATGATTGTTGGACTTATTGAAGTAAAAGTGAACACCCTCGCTCGTCCTGGTGTAAGTTTAGCTTCCTTCACTCTTTGCTTCTGTTATTCTTCTCTCTGTCTCTTCCTGTCTGTGTTGTCGCTGTAGCAGGACTGTCGACATCCCCAGCCGTCCATGTCACAGCCCTCATACCCCGGGTTGATGCTGCTTTTCTGAAACAAATAAACGATTACATGAACACCCTAGTTTGTGTTTTTTTCCTCCTACATGTTTTGTTTGTTGTACCCAGCACCCAGGAATATTCCAGCTATATGACTTCGGTCTGTAAATAATCGAGTCTGGACCAGACAATCCAGTGACTGACATGAGCATTGATCTACGCAATTGTGATACGATGAAATGCATAAACCAAGTCAGCGAGCCTGGCCACCCGATCCCGTCAGTCGACAAGCAGGGGTGGTCAGATAGCCTAGCGGGTAAAGCGTTCGCTTGTCACGCCGAAGACCCAGGCTCGATTCCCGGCAAGGGAACAATATGTGAAGCCCATTTCTGGTTCCTCCGTCGTGATATTGCTGGAATATTGCTAAAAGCGGCGTAAAACCATACTCACTCACTCACTTACGACAAGCAGTGTCGCCTTTTACGGCAAGCATGGGTTGCTGAAGACAAATTCTAACCCGGATCTTCCCGGGTCCTCCCACGTTAAGCTGACACGCCGTGATATAACAGGAATACCGTTCAAAGCGGCGTTATACCTAACTCACTCACTTTATGATGATGATGATGATACCTTTTATAAGAGCTATTCACGTTGGTATTTCGACACATTTATTACATCTATATTTCTACAGTAAACTGACAAATTATTATTAAATTATTATTAAATATTGGCACAGCTAGTATTTAAGTATTTACGCCAGATTGGCGATGTTTAGGCCAATTAAAATATATTCTTGTTTCTCAACATGGTTTAATAACCGATAAGGTAGGTAGGGGGATGCTATTTGTTTCATATTTTATTTCTTAAATTAGTTACAAATCTTTAAACGTAAACTTAATTCTAATGAAACATGTGACCTCTTAAAACACAACTTGATTTGAAAAAGTCATTTGATTGCTTTAAAATAAAAACAAGTATTTGGGGCGGGGGCAGTTGTAAGCTGTAAGTTGTAAGTCTGTAATTTCTGTGAGCATGGCCCATGACGATAGGGAGTACCCAGCCAAGTGAGTGACACCTCGTCAGTCCCCGCTGTATTCCGCGGAAACTTTTGCAGAAATGCCCACTCAGTGCAGAAATGTACCATTCTTGCAGAAAATCACATTTTGTGCAGAACAAGTGCAGCATTTTGCATTTTTATGGCCATATCGCCTAAAGTACAATTGATGCTAACTCAAGATAACATGTTTATTTTGTGAGTTGATAACATTTATGATCAACATTTCAGATTTATAGTCATTATTCAAGCAAGGATTGACCACAGAATTTTGATTGTTTGGCCTCGGAATACAGCGGGGACGGTCTCGTTCCTGCAATGTTATAGTGAGTGAGTGAATATTGTCGTGCGTCACAGTCAGAAATATTGTCTCCAGCTACCGTATTTCCTCTATTAGACGCCGGACCTCTAATAGACGCCGGCCTCTAATAGAAGCCGGGTCAATTGTTCAGTGCAAAAAATAGAAGCCGGGCCCCTAATAGACGCCGGGTCGATCAATTGATACAATTAATTATCCCTTTTTGGGACCTAAATTCGTGGTCATAGTGAAATGGGGGTATTAATAGAAGCCGGGCCTCTAATTGACGCCGGGTCAAAGGCTTGTCCGAAATAAATGGAAGCCCGGGCGTCTAATAGAGGAAATACGGTATATAACGACTCGTGAAAAACTCTGGACAACGACAACCGTGGTTGGTAGCATGTGCAACGTTCTACGACGGCACACAATTCTCGTTCAATATATTTAGAATGTAATGTTATCTGACATTAATTCTAACGCCAGCTACAATACAATATTCCAGCTTCACACAGAAGGCCTGTATGTGAATAATCAAGTCAGGGCCAGATGACTTGTGGTTGACAGAGCGAACAACAGGCGACGCCACAAATCCAGCAAAGTCACATATTGTGACTTCCAGAGACTCGTTGCACCAAGCTATCTTAGCGCTAAGTTGATCGTAACTCCCATACTTTAACATAGGTTTTTACGTCATTCGTCCTCACAGGCTGAAGATTACCGATTTCCAGGACACCACGGCTCCTGTGCCAGACGAGGATGATGTAATTCTTTGATGATGAGAATGTTGGAGCTTTTACGAGAGCTTCCGGTGGACCTATTTCGCACTCGGTAATGTCAATCTGATCGCCATAGCCTTTTAAATGCAGCCCGGACTTCAGAGAGTATTAAACACGAAATAGATAACACTGATTGAGTTCATGTGTACTTCATGAACCCTCTGGTTCATGCGGAATAAGTGTTCACCGATTAAGGTCAAGGTTACTGCAGAGCCCGAAATATGCACGACCATGTTTTCTTGTCAGATAGTCATAATCAGAGTTTGATGAATGGCAGGGGTTATTTGAAATTAATTTCTGTATTAAGGGTTCAGTAATTATGGAGAGTTTGAAGCTAGGGAAGGACTGAATATACATCAGCGGTAGATTTGAACAGGGTATGCAGTTACAAATGAGGTTATGTAAGTGTTCTGTTTACCAATGCAACAGTTGGTGGTTTATCATTTTAAACTTTCTTTATTCAAGTTGAGGATGCAGGACATGCTTGACTGCTACGATAACAGTCACGTGGCTACCACGAAACTCAGTGAGTGAGTAAAAATTGTTTCACGCCGCATTCAACACGTTCCCGCTATATCACACCTCGACCCGTAAATAAACCTTATGACAGAAAGCACGATCAACAACCAACGTCATCAGGACACGATGGCACGAACTGAGCAAAAGTCACCGGGTCTGACCACCCGATGCCCCTCAGTCAGTTCGTTCAAGAAAACAGAGTGAGTGAGTGAATATGGTTTTACCCCGCATTTAGCAAAATACCAGCAATATCACGTCGGGGGACACCAGAAATGGACTTCACACATTGTACCCATGTGGGGAATTGAACCCGGGTCTTCGGCATGACGAGCGAACGCTTTAACCACCAGGCTAACTCACCGCCCCCTCAAGAAAACAGAAGGTTATTTATATTTCCGAACATTTTCAACCCCAGAAGAAGATAAAGAACACCCGATTATTTTATACTACTATAGTTAATCAGTCGTGACATGTAATAGTATAACAAAATAATCGTATGTTCTTTAACTTCTTTCGAGTAGTATATGTGGATCAATGAAGAATGTTACTTGATGCAGGTGAAATAAATACCATAAATAATTGTCAGTTACTGCATTATCTGAAATAGTTCAAAGAACAATAATTGGAACATACTGATATAAAATAGTTAATTAAGAAAACAAAATCAATATATACGAATGTCTACCACAGCAAAACAAGAGCGAAACAGCTGGGGATTCTCACACATTGTATGAGATTTTACGACCGTTTGTCGCTGCTGTAAAAAAATAAATAAACCAGAAGCACAGTATGGATGGAATGGAACTCATTTTAACTGATGTATTTGTCGGTAAACAAGTGTATGGGCTATGGAACATGAAAAGGGCACGGCGGCTAAATGTGTGAGAATACTAATCTCATGCATCAGAGCGCGACATCTCACAGGCCAGTGCACCCAGCAACACGTGAACGTGTCAACACACCAGCCAGTGTACCCAGCAACACGTGAACGTGTCAGCTCACCAGCCAGTGTACCCAGCAACACGTGAACGTGTCAACTCACCAGGCAGTGTACCCAGCAACACGTGGACGTGTCAACTCACCAGGCAGTGTACCCAGCAACACGTGGACGTGTCAACACACCAGTCAGTGTCCCCAGCAACAAGTGAACGTGTCAGCTCACCAGCAAGAGTCCCCAGCAACACGTGAACGTGTCAGCTCAACAGGCAGTGTACCCACAAACACGTGAACGTGTCAACTCACCAGGCAGTGTACCCAGCAACACGTGAACGTGTCAGCTCACCAGCCAGTGTACCCACAAACACGTGAACGTGTCAACTCACCAGCTAGTGTACCCAGCAACACGTGAACGTGTCAGCTCACCAGCCAGTGTCCCCAGCAACACGTGAACGTGTAAGCTCACCAGGCAGTGTACCCACAAACACGTGAACGTGTCAACTCACCAGCCAGTGTCCCCAGCAACACGTGAACGTGTCAACTCACCAGCCAGTGAACCCAGCAACACGTGAACGTGTCAACTCACCAGCCAGTGTCCCCAGCAACACGTGAACGTGTCAGCTCACCAGCCAGTGTCCCCACAAACACGTGAACGTGTCAACTCACTAGCCAGTGTACCCAGCAACACGTGAACGTGTCAGCTCACCAGCCAGTGTCCCCAGCAACACGTGAACGTGTCAGCTCACCAGCCAGTGTCCCCAGCAACACGTGAACATGTAAGCTCACCAGGCAGTGTACCCACAAACACGTGAACGTGTCAGCTCACCAGCCAGTGTCCCCAGCAACACGTGAACGTGTCAACTCACCAGCCAGTGTACCCAGCAACACGTGAACGTGTCAACTCACCAGCCAGTGTCCCCAGCAACACGTGAACGTGTCAGCTCACCAGGCAGTGTACCCACAAACACGTGAACGTGTCAACTCACCAGCCAGTTTACCCAGCAACACGTGAACGTGTCAGCTCACCAGCCAGTGTCCCCAGCAACACGTGAACGTGTCAGCTCACCAGCCAGTGTCCCCAGCAACACGTGGACGTGTCAGCTCACCAGCCAGTGTATCCAGCAACACGTGAACGTGTCAGCTCACCAGCCAGTGTACCCAGCAACACGTGAACGTGTCAGCTCACCAGGCAGTGTACCCAGCAACACGTGTACGTGTCAGCTCACCAGCCAATGTACCAAGCAACACGTGAACGTGTCAAGCCACTGCTTGGCCTTTATCTCTCCATTTAGAGTATTCATGGAGGTCACGTGTTGTTTTGGACGTTATTTAGTTTAATTTGACATTCAAAGGCGCACTATATCTATAGATAGGATTTACGCACGCGTGTACGTGTATGCGTATTAAGACGCACGCGTGTCTGTAAATCATAAGTGAAGTGAGGTGAAATTGGGTTCAACGTCGCGACCAAGATTATTGCACTTATATAGCGACGTGCAAGCACGTGTGGCTGCTTGTACTAGTCCGGATTGATGCCGATATAAAGTGCTAGCTCACTGAGATACCATGCCGCAGTTTAACACGAATACCCCACTCAGACACAGTATACCGACTCCGAACCGACCAGTCCTTGTTTTAGTCCCTTAATGCCGAGCGCCACCTGCAGACAGGGTAACAACAAGTGCCGTCTTTTAACGTCTTTTGGTATGACGCGGCCGGGGATCGAACCCCGGAGCTTCCGTTCTCCGGGCAGACGCTCTACAGCAAGACCACGGAGCCGGTCCAGTAAATTATAACAGCTGTTCAAGGATAACACTAGCAGACATAATCAGCCGGACGCTAATCTGCCATTATTTTCTGCTGATAGTATACATTTGCTGCCTCTTGACGGCATCAATACGCACCGACCCCTTGTGTCGTCGAAATGATCAATGCCGTACTGTGACGTTTGGTTACTATGGCAGTGACGTCACGACAATTCGAATGACGTCACAGACAACGGCAGTTCATACCGACGGACGGTCATCTATAAATCATCGCCTATATCTGTCACTTTCTTGCTACATCTATTATGGGTAACGCAGTTAGTGCTGCCAAACGATCCGTTAAGTCCAATAAGACATTTACTGTCCCATGGCGAGGAAAGAGCGGGGATAAAATGGTACGCGCTACATCCAGCGGAAAGACACTGACGAGCGACCAGATCCTAAGGACTGATTTACAACTATCATCGGATGACTCGGAAACAAAGATGGATATTTCCGATGATTCACAGACAAGTGTAAATTTGGGTGCCAAGGATATCACTGAGATCGTTAACCTGGGGGACGCCCGAGGATCCAAGTTTTGTGATGAAATTATTGGACAGCAAATACTGAAAAAGCCAAATGAACAGGATGTACGTTATGTGTACCCCCCGGGGAAGAATCAACCGATAGCACCGGCACCGGCACCGGCACCGGCGGCACCAAAACCGGATGTCCGTTTTGTCTTCCTTCAGCCAGGACAAAAACTCTCGGACATTAACCTGGTTCCCATACACAGCAGTGAGCAAGCTGCCGCCCAAACAACTCAGCCTGGCCATGTCGTGTATCTCAACAAGATTCCAGTTATTGCAGCACACTCCCCGAGCTTCCCATCACAGGATGACAACAGGTCCCCTAGGATCCCCAACAACACACCAGTCAAAAGCAGTCCAACATCCGGGATCCTCCCCTCGCCCGTCACAGCTCGTCACAAGTCCCCGGATTCAGTATCCGTCCCATCGGACCGGGCCAAGGACGTGGTACCTGGTAGGTGAAGTCGTAAACCTGTGTCAGTGTGAGCGTCAAGATGCTATATGATCTGAAGAAAATAATCAAACATGGTAGCCAGGTAGTCAGTATACTGCAAATGTACATGGAGGCTGAACAAAATGAATCAATGAATAGACATTTCAGGAATGCTTATTTCAATATATGGATAAACGTTGAAATTAAATATCAAGGCATTTTATCAGTAGTCGTGGGTGGACCAAGATTCCAAGTTCTGGCAAGAATGCGGTATACCGGCTCCTTCCGCCATTTTGGTAAGCTCAAAATAAGGAGGAGAAAATGAGTCGGCTGGTATTTGTATTAGTTTGATATAATTAAACCTCGAAATTGAATATTAACCCCAATGTCATTAAAATCAGATCTAAGTTCTCGCTGCCGCTAAACAAAGGTCTGAGGACATCCCATTACGGGTCACGTCAGACCGACCTTACGCGAACGCTGACCGACCAATGGAATTACTGACAAGAAGTCGACATTAGCCAATCAGAAGGCAGCTTTCCCAGAACAGTTCTTTACGGCACTAATTTCAAACTGGCGACTACGCTTCGAAACATATTTTGACAAATTATCGCTTAAAAATTTGAAACCTGAACAAAAGAACATTCTCGAATGGCTAATATATGGTCTAGATTGTATAGATTCAGTCGTTAAGCCCGTAACTATCGTTCGGAATACCCCGTTTTAAGCGGTAGCGAGAACCAAGGTCTGATTTTAATGAGATTGATATTAACCCTTACATACAGGGAGCAGCTATAGAATACATGTATGTTCGCCACTAATGTTATTCAATGATCCAAGGGCTAAGGATAGAGTTTGGGGTCACCTAAACTAAGGCACGCGTAAATATGTATTTTGCGATACTTGATATCATTTTGGAGTTTTTATTGGGTGGCGAATAGAGTCTGTGTTAATAAAGTGACCTTTGTACTCCATCTGTCCAAACCTGCTATTGAGAAAAATATATTTTAGCCCTTACATACTATTGTAAAATAACATTTGTCATCTATCTTACATAGTGTTGTAAAATAACATTTGTCATCTATCTTACATAGTGTTGTAAAATAACATTTGTCATCTATCTTACATACTGTTGTAAAGTAACATTTGTCATCTATCTTACATACTGTTGTAAAATAACCTTTGTCATCTATCTTACATACTGTTGCAATCATAAGATAACCGTTTCTATGGTAACACAGGCACAGGGGATCGGTATCGTACGCCCGGCTCCAGCTTCCGTAACAAGAACGGCAACGTGAAGCGTCCAATGAACGCATTCATGGTGTGGGCGCGCACCTACCGGGCTAAGCTGGCATCACGTTTTAACACAGACACCAACTCCCAGATCAGCATGAAACTGGGCGACGTGTGGAACAGCCTCACTCGGGAGGAGAAGCAACCTTACTACGACCAGGCCGATTTGATAAAGAACCAGCACAAGAAGGAATTCCCGGGTTTGTATATCTTGTAAATAATAATAATAATAATAATAATAATAATAATAATAATAATAATAATGATGATGATGATGATGATGATGATGATGGCGCTAAATGTGTGCGTGAGTAAGTTTTAAAGCTGCTTTTAACAGCATTCCAGTTATATCACGGCGTGTCAGCTTGATGTGGGAGGAAAGCCCGAAATGATGCAGGTCTCAGACGTTTACCACTTTGGTAAAACCCACGAGCCTCGAATCATAATCGGGCCGAACCTGGATTTAAAGTGGCGTTAAACCAAATTCACTCACTTTTAGTTTAGTGTATGAACCCGGAGGGTGGTTATGCAGTACAGGACGTCTGGGTGTGATGACATGTTTCAGATTGGGTGTATCGCCCGTCCCCTTCCAAGAAACGACAGGAAGAAAGTGCCACCCACAACGTCCTTTGGGCCAGATTTGGCGGGGGGTCATCGGCAGCGACTCTGGCGCGCATTGCAACCGCCGCGGCCAACCACGCGCCACTGGAGAGTCTGCAGAAGGACGCGCCTAGAGGCCAGCCCCGGGTTGTTGGCAGACAGATTGGAGCGGAGGCACAGGGGACGCTCGGGAAGATGCAGGAGAACCAGCATCAGGGACGGCAAGACACCGTCAACCCACCCGACGCCGGCAGGACACTGGACAATCCCCGCACCCCGGACATCAACGCCCGGGAGGTCCTCAAGGCCAAGCTCTCTGGTCAGACAAGAACGAGCCACGGCAATAAATGTAAGTACCACAGGCGGGCCGATGTTAATGCAGCTGTACACATTTTCAAATGAGTGGGCGTTCCAATCAGCTTGGGGAGCGAAGCCCAGTGATGTCAGGCAGCGCGTTCGGCTGTGTCAGGTGTTGTGAGGATCGAGCAGTTCGAGTAAAAGATTTGCCCAAATAATGATACTTGGTTGTCAGTTCCATACCCGTGCTCATCAAAGATGTATTCATCTAAGACTGCCTCCGTGATGTAGTGGATAGAGCGAATGATCGGTGAGCGGAATGTCGGGGGTTCGATCCTCTGACGCGTCATACCAAAAGACGTTCAAAGATAGTACTTGTTGTTGCCCTGCTTGGCGCTAGGCACGATATCGCAGTGGGCTAGCACTATGAAACCGGCGTATGAAACCGGCGTAAGTCCGGACAAGCAGTCACCACACACACACACACACACACACACACACACACACACACACACACACACACACACAAACACACACACACACACACACAAACACACACACAAACACACACACACACAGACACTGCTACGACCCCCATCACTTCGAAATAATCACAATTATACAAAATAATAAAGGATTTAAATAGAGTCTAGCTGCCATCTAAGGTGCTCAACGGCAGCTTAAAACCAGTCTCATTCACTAACTCACTCACTACAACCAACCGAGAGATGATGGCGGCATTGGTCGGTCACTGAATCAGTTGTTTTAAGGCTTGGAATATTGCGAATATTGGAGTGCGGCGTTAAACCAAACCAAAAAGGCTGAGCTCTCAAGACTCTGTTGCAGCTCCGGAGAAGCCATCGCCACACAGTGCCTCGGGAACATCGCCGTCTCCCAAGAGGAACTCAACGAACCTTCCGCAGCACAAGTCCCCAGTGAAGATCGCCAAGAACAAGACGGCGAGAACCACTGTGAAGAAGAAGAAGACAAGTCGCGCCAACGCACCTCGAGAAGACGACAAACACTTGCTGGACCATCGACCAAAGTCGCCAGGAGCACCACCCACTTCCCCTCGGAGTACCGTCAGTTTGGACTCGCCTAAAAAGGCGGGCGAGAAGAAGACGTCTGTGACGGACCAGAAGCGAGTCAATTCACCAGCAGAGAGGACTGGAGGAGAAACATACAGGTACGTTTTGAAGGTCCTAATCATTTCACGAATGATACTATTCACATTTACGTCATGTACAAAGCCTGCTAATCGAAGCATGGAAGGACCATAAAAGCACTCGGCTAAATGCATGACTTGTATCGAGCAATGGACATGAGAGCAGACGGCAAGTATCAATAAACTTTTTAATGTGAAAGTTTACACGATATGCATCTTTTCCATTGGACGGGAGGTCGGTCACATGACTGCGAATTTGACGTTCATAAGGGTATGAACGACACAATTTGACCTTCACACGTTTTTTACGACCCATCCTAGTGAAAAAAACGAAAAAAATGTTTATTAAAACTATTGTAGTATCGACTCGATCCGTGTTTGGACTGACAATGGCAGTCTACAGTTATCTGTTAATTTACCTATCTATTTGACACATCTTTATAATCACCTTTTAATGATCGGTCAATTGATCAATGATGACTGACACATGTAACCGCCACAGGTTCATTAACAACTTCGGAAATGTCTCCCGTCACGTTCATCGTTTCGGTCATTTTGACGTCTTGTGAGTGAGTGAGTACGGTTTTACGCCGCTTTTAGCAATATTCCAGCAATATCAAGGCTGGGGACACTAGAAATGGGCTTCACACATTGTACCCATGACGGGAATCAAACCCGGGTCTTCGGCGTGACGAGCGAACGCTTTAACCACTAGGCTACCCGACCGCCCCTGACGTCTTGTACTTAATGTAAATGTATTACGACGCACCGTCACTGTTACTGACTTACCGAGCTAGTTCTTAACAGACGTTTCTCATCTAATGGTGATATTATTTGAATACTTTTGTTGTAAACTACATCAGATGTTCATGTGAAGCAAGTTGAGCATACACACGCTCATGTCACCACTCTGTTTGAGGAACTATTTTATTCCGCGATACAGCTTGTTGTATGGCTGTCAGTGTAAGCATGAAATCACACGTACCACTTTAAATACAATTGTGTATAGATCCAGCGCTCAATCCTACGAGGTAAAAAATAGTAAAAGCCCTGACGTTCATACAGTTTGGCCCTCACTCTATGAAGGTTCATTGTCCAATGAACTCACACAAAGTGAAAGTCATTTCTTAAATAACCTCAAAACGTTCATCTCTCCCTAACAGCAGGAGGATATGAACACACAATGCCATTTAGAAAGTGGTCAAATGTAACAAATGTTATATTTGGGATAACACTTTCTTAGTAAAGTACAGATTCTAGTACATTTTTGGGTTGAGTCCCGTTCGGGACTCGGACCCACACTGCCAGAGTGTGGCACCTAATCGCCAGCACTCAAAGTCAGCGATCTAACCCACTCAGCCACCGAGGCTTCCACAAAAAAGAAAATCCGACATCTGATAGTCTAGATCATGTACGTTGTGTACCCCTCTGACGAATATAAAGTGGCAGGGCTCCCAGGGCTTTAGTAAGTGGTCAAATGTAACAAATGTTATATTTGGGATAACACTTTCTTAGTGAAGTACAGATTCTTTGGGTTGGGTCCCCCCCAAAAGGACGAGAATCTGTACTTAACTAAGAAACGAGGATAGTCTCCCAGCATGAGGGCTACACCACCCGGGAACCTTCAGGGGCAGATGACCCATGTCCTCCTCACTGCCGCGGATCTGATACAGCTCTCTAATTATGCGGGGCACGGGTGGCCCAGTCGTCTAAGGCGCCGCGATTCGCTATGCAGAGTTGCGTCCCTTGGGCACGCCAGAAACATATGATTGTGGGTTCGAATCCCGGTTCGCCCCGATTATGTTTCTAGGTTTGTCAGCACCAAACCCGTGCTCGTGGGTTTCACCGAAGAGGTAAACGTCTGAGACCTGCATCAATTCGGGCTTTCCTCCCACATAAAGCTGACACGCCGTGATATAACTGGAATAATGTTAAAAGCGGCGTTAAACCCAACTCACTCACTCACTCTAACCACTCATTAAAATCAGATCTTAGTTCTCGCTACCGCTAAACAAAGATCTGAGGACATCCCATTACGGGTCACGTCAGACCGACCTTGCGCGGACTTTGACCGACCAATGGAATGACCAACCAGGAGGCAGCTTTCTCGTGCTTTACGGCACTAATTTCAAATTGGCGACTACGCTTTGAAACATTTTGACAAATTCTCGATGACAAATTTGAAACCTAAACAAAAAAACATTCTGGAATGGCTAATAAATGGTCTAGATTGTATCGACTCAGTCGTTAAACCCGTAACTATTGTTCGGAATACCCCGTGGTGAAGTTTTCAAGGTTGCATGATTAGAAATCACATTCCGACTGTCACTTCCATAATCTGGTAAGCGACGCTCTGATTTGTCGGATGAAAGGTCGTTCTGACATGACCCCCAATGGGATGTCCACAGATCTTTGTTTAGTGGTAGCGAGAACTAAGGTCTGATTTTCATGAGATTGGACCGCCGTCTTACAAAACCACAATTGTGGAATGACGTCAACAATCTTTCGCTCTGACGTCGTTCATATTGTGACATCATTTCTACCCCACGTCCCAATAAGATTCGAATGACGTCAACAATGCCGTCCGGATGACGTAAACAATAAACTCGTTTGCGTGAAGTGATATTTGCACAATAGTGCGCATACAGGTTGGACCGTCGCTTATATCATTTCAAAAGGAGAGTTATTTCCCTTTGTTACAAAAAGATCGCCCATTAATAAGATCTCGGTTATTTCTAACGCTATGGGTAATAAACACGAGATGAGAGAAACATGATATTTCACTTGACACATGGAATATCCTTTTTATTATATACCTTTTGTGCAGCTGTCTACCGGAATTTTTTTTTTTTTCATTACAAATGTAAACCATAAAAAACACCACCATTGTACGGACTGAGGCTGTTGTAATTTGGCTGTGCGAAGTCGCGTCCTTTGACTCTTACTTGTGGGTTTGACCAAAGTCTAAAACGTCTACGATTGGCTCCCACGATAAACTAAGTCTGGTAAAACTGAAACACCGTTTAAGTGCTTACCGCTGCCATTGCTGTCTCACTGTGTGTTCTGTTCTCCAGGCTCGGGGAAGAAGAACAGGGAGATGACTCGTGGCCATTTCCGTTCCCGCCATACCAGTACGGACCGTTCGACACCCTCTCCCCGAAAGACGTGCCTTCGGATGAGATACTTGGTATGAGGGGTGAGTACGCATGCCGTCACGGATTATTGTCCGTTCCAATATGTACACCAAAGTTAATATTCATACTCAGAAATATCACTTATGACGGAACGGGGGGCATAGGTGGCAGGGTCCCTTATGCAAGCTAAAAACTGGCTCAGCCAGAAAACTATGTTATTGTATATGCTTTTTTTTTAAAAAGCCGCACTCAGCAATATTCCAGCTATATGACGCGGTCTTTAAATAATCGAGTCTGGACCAGATAATCCAGTGATTGACATCATGAGCATCGATCTACGCAATTCGGATACGATGACATGCATCAACCAAGTCAGCGAGCCTGACCACCCGATCCCGTTAGTCGCCTCTTACAACAAGCATAGTCGCCTTTTACGGCAAGCATGGGTTGCTGAAGACCTATTCTAACCCAGATCGTCACGGGTCCAGAAATCTATGATTGTGTGGTTCAAATCCTGGTTCGCCCCGATTATGTTTCTAGGTTTGTCAGCACCCTACATACGAGCACCGTGCTCGTGGGTTTCACCGAAGTGGTAAACGTCCGAGACCTGCATCACCTCGAGCTTTCCTCCCACATTAAGCTGACACGCCGTGATATAACTGGAATACTGTTAGACCACTCTCCGACCCAGAGTTCCATTCGACCGGCAGCCAGCCAGCATAGTACCTCTGCCACAGGCCAGCGCCATGTGACGATTCGTCACATCTTTCACAGTCCATTCAAGATATTGAATATGCTTTTCATCCGTTTCATGTTTGACAAGTCTACACATTTTCATAAACAAATGTCAAAGAATGGTTACGGTTCATTAAGGAAGTAGCCTAATACGTGAAAATCTATTTGTTTTTGCGTAGTTATCCCTTGTTTACATTGGTTGTATGGCTCCACGTGCTGTCATCGAAGCCCAACGGAGAGCTAGCGATACGGTCACTTTGATGTATAAATATTATATTGTCATGAGATTCACTGTCGCGGTGGTAGTAGCATATCTATATAATTATGCAAAACAATATGTTAAGCGCCCCCAAATACTTGCATTAGTCCGTTCTATACTGATTTCTGAAAAAGCGCGTTTGTTTACAAACAAGAGAAAAGTCCGGTCACGTGATATGCAAATTAGCCTGTGGTGTTATGCTGAGTCACCACTGCGCCGGAGTGTGCTGTTAGACCTAACTCACTCATTATGCTGGAACTACTTTCAGGCTCTCAATGACACAGAGACTTCCGAGACTTCCGAACGTTTTTCTTTCTTGTCAAAAAACGTGTTTATCTAATCTCGTGACCTGAAAATGATGGGTTTAACATGTTATTTGACAAGAAGAAACACATATCCTCTATATATTTATTTTATTGTGAATACGTAGACCAAAGTAATGCTACTATCAAGACGATCGTAACTTCCATACTTTAACACAAACTTACGGCAGTCCTAATGCTAAGATCGTTTTGTAGAGCTTGCAGGTTGAATCACCGCTATGAATACATTCTCTAACGGTTGTATTTTGAATCACGTGTAAACGCAGAGAGGCAGTATTGTTTTGGAATGATGTGGTGATGAGCAGTTGAATCGATGAATAATTTAACTGTGTTCACCCCCAGCAGGTCGGGCCCGTGAGTCGGATGAAGATTCGTCTCGTCCTGAGAGAGTGACGTCAGACCTGTACCTGGACGTTCACAGGTACGGGACAAAGCCCCAGGGGCTACTCACGAGATATTGATGATGAATGAAATTGTAGTAATAATAAGTTATGTTTATCTAACTCGGTAACCTGAGAAATGTATATTTTCATTCATGTCGGCAACTCGTGAAATAGCAGACGATGTCCAGCTAATCTATGCAGTGACGGGAAGTAAATAATAACCCACCAACTACAGGCATACCGTATTATCTCTCCCGAGTGAAGTCCCGAGTTTCCGTAACTGATAACAGCGAGTATGTAGGTCTATACCTATAGTCATTTTTGCGAGAATGTAACACACTTTGAGGGTTTTCCTCTTTCAAACGAAGACACCTGGGTCCACTTGCACAAAGCGATCTTAGCGCTCAGATGATCTTTACTCCAATACATTAACATAGGCTTTCGATAGTCTTAGCGCTAAGATCGCTTTGTGCATTTTGGCCCAGTTCAGTCAATCATATGGCATCACACAAAATGTCTGTGACATCATGAACAATGGATGGCGTCATATTCTTTATGACGTGACGTTGCTGACGGCCGTTTCACAAACAGGAAACAATTGAACATGGCAACAACTAGGCATTTTGCATGAAGGAAAATTCATGAGTCTCAGTGAAATAATGAAAATAGTTTCACCTATAACCGTTCCCCTTTGGGTAACATGAAGCCGTATATCTTTTATATCTTCCTCCTTCAGGTGGAGGTCTTTTCTGACGTCATCCGGGTCCAACTCCAAGCTGACGGACGAGGATGTCTATGATATCTTCAATCCCTCCCACTGTGATCATGGACCCGATTGCCGTGTGTGCACCAGTGACGTTGACCTTGCTCCTAAATCGCTTCGCGACACCCTGCGAGTGGGTAAAGATGGTGTTTTCGGTAATCCCAACGTGTGTCTCGAGGTGGATTTCAAGGTCGGGCCCGATTATCATAAACCGGAAGAAGATGTGTCTGCCGTGGACCGGATATCCGGCGCCGTGTGCGAAGCACTGAAAGCCCTGAACGAACCTGATCATGTAGGCAACGAGTCCCCTGGGTGTGGAGCGGAAACGTCAATTGTGATGACGCCAACCACTAGCAGCTCTCCGACCATGATCGACAGGGAAACACCATCAGATTCCAAGGTGGCGTCTGACTCGGAAACCTCTGACGTCACAGAGAATGGACATAATGGCATCAGCTATGTTGACATCGGTCTTTCGACAGATCTCACCACGCATGTGATGTTCAAACCAACGTCAGAATCTTCGAGGGATGACGGAGAGACCCCGGGACGTACGGATCACCTGGACAAGCGTCACAATAGGAGTGCGTGCATTGCTTGCTGCCTCGTGGAAAACGCGCAGGAACAATTGAAACGTGGTGGACGGATGAAAGATGCTTCTCCCACGGACGATCCCGATTTAGCATCAGAGATGCCTCGCAGTGTCAGAAGCTTAAGAAGCGCCCCCGGTCCCCGGCAACGTCAGGTATACAAGATGGACGACAGTAATACACGGATGGCTAGACTGGCCCCTGACGTCACTCAACTCATTCCTGTGAGGTCCAGCGATAGTGAGAGTCAAATGCGAAGTGACCTCTACCACAGGAAAATACAGCTTCATTCTGATATCTCCAAGTATAAGATATTTGACACCAACAAGAATGCGAGTGAACAGGTCGGCTCGAGGAGGTTAAAGTCAGCTCAGCTAGCACGGGGTGAACAGACGCTTAAACTCCGGGCATGTGATGGCGAGGGTGTCAGGGGAAGGGGGAGCCTAAGTTTGGGGAATATGAGTGCAGACTGCAGCCTGGATGTGGAACTGGATAGCGTAGAGGGAACTGTGATGAGGCTGGGGGAGCGGGAAGGCGGCAGGAAAGCAACACGAAACAGGGGGGCTGCTTTTCCATGTGATGATGACAGAAAGCCGCGAGGGAAGAAGACAAGTAAATCCAAGAGTCTCGAGTCCGGGGCAGCCGTTGGTGAGGCCGACATGTGTCGGGGGGACTCGATTTCCAGATCGACACAGCCAACGTCTCCGACTAAGCCGAACATGGAGATCCTGAAGACCTTGATAGTCACTGAGAAAGACGGCCTTGGGTGTGCTGCGACGGAGGACATAGACAAGTCGGAATGTACGGCTGCGGATACTGAGAGACCGGGATGCCCCAAGACTGATGCTTCTCCCGGGCTGAATGAGAGGACGAAGTGGAACAGGCGACAGTCTTTCCGGAACCGGAGTCAGATGACCTCGAGGATCTACGCATCCCGCCAGACGCTGTCACTGTTGCATAGAGGCAGGATGATCAACAACCTCGCCAGGCCTACCAGGTCCAAGCCGAGGTGAACCTGCAGACACTGTTACATGGAGACTTTCTGTTTCCTGGGGTGGCACAGTCTTGGGTGACACTTCCTTCTGGGTTGGCACTTCTTTTTGGGGTGGCGCCTCCTCACAGCCTTCCTGTCACATAACTGATTCATCCGCATCCTTGGTGATAGAAGTCATTATGCCACGGCGACTGTGAATATGGAACGGTGATCTATTTGCTGAAAAAGACTGAAACATACATGTGTTTATGAATTATGAAGTGTAATAAATTCAGATCAGTGTGGTTTTCATGTGTTCATACATGCCAAGATGTTGTCGTGATCGTTGACAATTCATTGTATTGGAACGTTCAAGTCCCACGTCGAGTGCTTTGACTACGAATTACGCACTATCTCTCCAGAGTGATTAAATGTTAGAAATCTAAAGGAGGTGTCCAGTGACCAGTGACTATAGATACAACCAAGCCTCATAGCGGTCACGACCCGTCAAGATCCGGGGTAGAATAGGTCTTGAGCAACCCATGCTTGCCGTAAAAGGCGACTATGCTTGTCGTAAGAGGCGACTAACGGGATCGGGTGGTCAGGCGCGCTGACTTGGTTGATGCATGTCATCGTATCCCAATTGCTTGGATCGATGCTCATGATGTCAATCACTGGACTGTGTGGTCCAGACTCGATTATTTACATACCGCCGTTATATAGCTGGAATATTGCTGAGTGCGGCGTTAAAAACAAACAAACAATAATTCCGCCAGCATTTGTCCCCGAGGGATGCAGGAAGATAGTTTAGTGATGACACACCAGGCCAACTCAGCATACGGATGCCAAGTAACACATTAATACATATGGAAGTATATTTGTAACATGGGATAATAGAAATATTAGGCGTCATACAATCACTCCGAGTTGACGAATGAAAACCGGTGGTCGAAACCTTGAGCAACGATCCACGTCATTGGGGTACGATGATAGAAGACAGGGCACCGTTCTATAAACGATCTTAGCGTTACGACTGTCGTAAGCCAGTGTTAAAGTATGGGAGTTACGATCACCTTAGCGCTAAGATCGCTTTGTGGAACGGGGCCCAGGTCACCCACTGTTTCGTATCTATATTCCAATCCAAAATCAATTGTGCGAAAGATAGTTGTAACATACTATGCTCTGGTTATATTTACCAGAGTTCGCTAGCTACACTTCTAACTAAGTTTTGGGAGTCTGTTACTTCCCTTTGACGAAGGAATGCTCGAGTTCATCATTACAAGTGTGAAGGCTGTGAAATCTATGGGACCGTCATCCGGGCCCTGTTCCACAAAGCGATCGCAGCGCTACGACTGTCGTTTGTCTTTGTTAAAGTATGGGAACTAAGATCGTCTGAACGCTACGAAGCAATATCCAATATATAAGTCACTGGAATTCAAGGAATGTTTCGTGCCAGCAACATTTAAGAGATGTTTGCAATATCCCATTGGTGAGGTTCATTTACTCTCAAGAGATTACCACTCAAGAATATTGCAGCTTTACCTGGGCTGCTTCTAAATAATCAAGTCAGGTCAGACAAACTAGAGGTTGACAGCAAGAGCAACAACAATCCGCATAATCAGGCTATCACAAGCAGGTACGCATTGCAACCATGGGTCTCCATTGGTTGGTCGACACGGGCCAAGCAGCTGCATCCCCGACAAGATAGACAGCATGGTGCCGTTGTACGAAGTGATCTTAGCGCCAAGGTCATCGTAACACCCATACCATAACACAGACTAATGACAGTCGTAGCCCTTAGATTGTTTTGTACAAGCGGGTGGGTGGGTGGACGAGTGAGTGTTTATTTGTTTGTTGTTTAACGCCGCACTCAGCAATATTCCAGCTATATGACGGGACCTGACCAGTGATGGACAACATGAGCATTGATCCACGCAATCAATGTCCGTTTTATCATGGCGTGTCAGCTTAATGTGTGAGGAAAGCTCTGAATGACGCAGGCTTACGTGGTTATGGCTTTGGGGAAACTGACGAATAGTTAAAATCAATGATCAGAGCGGGTCTGGGATTCAAACCAACAATAGTATGGCTAAGGGACGCAACTCTACACATCAATAACACGGATGCCGTTGGTTTGCTATAAAACTTTATTATATTCATCTAAACAAAGGCAACATAACATAGCACTGTTTGAAAACGCGCAGCACCCACTCACACTGGAAAATGTCAGTCAACATTAGATGTTCAACTCCATGAAACAACTTTGCCTCAACCAAGTCACTTGTAGTCGTCTGTGGGGTGTCACCTCATTGTAGATTGTACAAGATACCTATGTATAACCAATTTGGTCGACCATCTGGTTGTGGGCCAACCTAATTAGAACTCAAATCTTATGAAGATCACAAAATGCACAAATTACAACTTAAGAAATTGGCTGTGCGAGCTGGGCCTTAAGTCACGGTTACCTTGTAGACAGACTACGTTCAACGTCTGGTGCTATGGATTTGTACCTCATGGGTATTTCATGGATGAAATTGAAACTTAAATCGAAATTTTCTGGGCGCCGTTCCCCAAAGTGATCTTAGCGCAAAGACGATCGTTACTCCATAACTTTAACAGACTTACGACCGTAGCGCCAAGATCGCTTTGTGGAACGGCGCCATGGATGTTATTTTGTGGTGTCCCTCAAGGATCAGTACTTGGACCAGTGCTGTCTACTCTATACACCAAACCACATGGTGCTACAGAACAAGAACAATCTTCAACGCCATCTTCATGCTGATGGCTCCCAGCTAATGAAGGTTTTCAAGCGATGTCCCTCAGCAGCAACAGAAGCAGTTGCGCAAACAGCTGGTCGCTATGGCCATATATTAAGCATGGACGACTTCTAACATGTTCAAGATAAATGGCGACAAAACCAAATCCATGCTCATTGGTCTAACACGCAGATGCGCAAAAGCCGAACTTGACACCATCCGAGTTGGTGCAATTTGGATCAATGACATGCATCAACCAAGTCAGCGAGCCTGACCACCTGATCCCGTTAGTCGACTCTTACGACAAGCATAGTCGCCTTTTACGGCAAGCATGGGTTGCTGAAGATCTATAAGGGACTACCTACACAAATATCCACTTGATTGTGCTGCCATTGGCACCTCCTCCATCACACTCACACAGACAGGGACAGTCACACATGAACACAGTGGAGGTGGTATCCAAAGTAGGTATCAGACTTCTCATTGTACATAACCCAGGGAGGCGGCAGCAACAGCAGCACCTTCATTAGTGTCGGGCATGTTGAGAAACCAGATTCATCAGGATGTGTGCCTCATGTAATAAATTTGAGTCAAATTAGAACAATTACTGTGTAATTGGTCAAAACTTACACAATGCTATGTTAATATTGATTCAATGAAACAAGGTGTTTTCTTTATGCTAGTTATGAATCCATATTGATGTTGCCTGTTCTTGTGCATCAGTAACTCGCCATTGCCATCATCATCATATACTCCACGTTTTTACAAAATACTTCCTGGTTGATGTTAGGTTCCTTTGAGCCAAGTAACCTCAAATGTGCTGTCTTAGGCTAAAAAAAATAATAGTCTTTGTTCTCAGGCTCCGCTCGCATCATCATAATGTCTGACGCATGTTTCATTTTTATTTCCATATTTGAAGAAAACAAAAATATCATTAATAATTCCAAGGGCAATGGTAGTCACATACTATATTCCAGTATTTTTCTCATAAAAAAATACATTTATGTAGGGAGGCCCTTTCCTAGGTTGATTGTACACAACTGTTTATTTGGTTACACAACTGTGTGTTTGGTAATATACTCGTTTGAACAACAAAAACAAAAAAAGACAAACAAAAAAGAAACCGCCCACACTATATTTTCAAAATGCTCCCCCACTTGAGTGTAAGTGACAGATGTTACATAGATCTATCTGAGGATTGATTTAATAACAGCTAACACCTATTTAATGCCGTGCATGGAGGCGTCTAACTCCGGCTGCCGAGGTGTTGCCCGGATCTTTCACAACACATACATACATGAACACAGTAGTGGTGGTACCCAAGGAGGATGTCAGACTCACTCACTCACACAGGGCAACCCCCCAGCAGCAGGAGCAGCACGTATACATGGGGGGTGGGGGTAGGGTGGTGATGACAGGGCAGACTATTGTGTATGCAAGATTGTTTGTTTATTTACGCCACTCACCAATATTCCAGCCATATGACGACGGTTTGTAAATAATCGAGTGTGGACCAGACAATCTAGAGATTGACATCATGAGCATCGATCAACGCAATTGGTTTATGTTGGTTGGTTGGTTTGTTCACTTGTTGTGTAATGCCGCAGTCAGCAATATTCCAGCTATATGACGGCAGTCTGTAAGTAATCGAGTCTGGACCAGACAATCCAGTGATTAATATCAAGAGCATCGATCTACGCAATTGGGTTTGATGACATGCATCAACCAAGTCAGTGAGCCGGACCACTCGATTCTGTTAGTCCATTCTTACGACAAGCATAGTCACCATTTACAGCAAGCATGGGTTGCTGAAGACCTATTCTACCCAGGATCTTCACGGGCCCAACGCAATTGGAATACGATGACATGCATCAACCAAGTCAGAAAGCCTGACCGCTCGATCCTGTTAGTCGCCTTTAACGACAACCATAGTCGCATGTTACGGAAAGCATGTGATGTTGAAGACCTATTCTTTCCCGGATCTGTATGCAAGAGTATTTTGAGAGTCCTGGACAACACAGTCACACTGTTTCAACAGGGACGTCACTATTGTACTATCATTGCTATGTGAAATTTAGCATTTTTTCATTTTCTATTTCATATCTGAACATGACCAAAACAGTGAGAGTCATATACACATGAACAAAACAATACAGAAAATCCATTTGAACAGTTTCCAAATTCCTCCATGAATGCTGATATCGATATAGAGGTCAAGGGACTGTGGAGCACTGAATCTTGAATTCGTTGAAAGTTAGTCCCTAACATCATAAAAGGATCTTCCTATCAAATATGCCCAACTCAAGGCTCCTCGGTCAAAAACATTCAAACAGTTACTTAAAATATGATTGAATTGAATTTTTCAGTTTGGTTCCAAGTGTAACAAAATCATCAATAAGTCTCCTGATAAGTCCCTCTACTATCAAATACATACAGCGAACACAGAATGTGTGGTATAACCATGTGGTATAACAATGTGGTATACTCAAAATAACAGAATAGCATTGCAGTGTGAGCGGAGAATACTGAGACTTAATTGTTACAAATAAAAACAAATTAAAACAAAACTGACACTTTTTCTGTGCAAACAATTTTGAAATAAACACATCTACATCTCTGTCTTTTTCAGTATCTGCAGTCATGTATTTGATAATAATGAAGTAAAACTGATTCGTTTGCATGTTCCTCGTTCTTTGGACTTCTCTACACCCTGGGGAGCCTCCCCCAGTCAATGGGTGTCTTGCCCTGCTGTTTCAGCAGCGAGTTACACTGGGAGAAGTGCTTGCATCCGAAGAACCCCCTGTGCGCAGAAAGTGGGGATGGATGGACAGCCTTTAGGATATGATGCCGTTTCTGAAACAATTACACAATTGTTAATAGCACAACAAAACAAACAAGTTGTAAAGTTACACAAAAAATACATGACTTTGTTAATCTTACAACAAATACACTCGTTAATCTCACAACAGTTTGTGCTAAACATGTTTGAGTCCTACCCCTTGAACTTGACCTTGTTGAACGGTCTCAGTAGATATTACTCCTTATATATGGGCTGTCATAGGCTAAGGTTAGAGTGAGTGAGTTGGTTGGTTTGTTGTTTTACGCCGCACTCAGCAATATTCCAGCTTTATGACAGCGGTCTGTAAATAATCGTGTCTGGACCAGACAATCCAGAGTGAGTGAGTGAGTGTGAGTGAGTGAGTGAGATGTTGGCGGAAAGCCCCTGCCATCATGGCTGTACAGGTCATAGACGTTCCCCACTTTGGTGAAACCTTCGGGAGTGAGTGAGTGAGTGAGTGATTGAGTGAGATGTTGGAGGAAAGCCCCTGCCATCATGGCTGTACAGGTCATAGACGTTCCCCACTTTGGTGAAACCTTCGGGAGTGAGTGAGTGAGTGAGTGAGTGAGATGTTGGAGGAAAGCCCCTGCCATCATGGCTGTACAGGTCATAGACGTTCCCCACTTTGGTGAAACCTTCGGGAGTGAGTGAGTGAGTGAGTGATTGAGTGAGATGTTGGAGGAAAGCCCCTGCCATCATGGCTGTACAGGTCATAGACGTTCCCCACTTTGGTGAAACCTTCGGGAGTGAGTGAGTGAGTGATTGAGTGAGATGTTGGAGGAAAGCCCCTGCCATCATGGCTGTACAGGTCATAGACGTTCCCCACTTTGGTGAAACCTTCGGGAGTGAGTGAGTGAGTGAGTGATTGAGTGAGATGTTGGAGGAAAGCCCCTGCCATCATGGCTGTACAGGTCATAGACGTTCCCCACTTTGGTGAAACCTTCGGGAGTGAGTGAGTGAGTGAGTGAGTGAGTGAGATGTTGGAGGAAAGCCCCTGCCATCATGGCTGTACAGGTCATAGACGTTCCCCACTTTGGTGAAACCTTCGGGAGTGAGTGAGTGAGTGAGTGAGTGAGATGTTGGAGGAAAGCCCCTGCCATCATGGCTGTGCAGGTCATAGACGTTCCCCACTTCGGTGAAACCTTAGGGAGTGAGTGATAGAGTGAGTGAGTGAGTGATAGAGTGATAGAGTGAGTGAGTGAGATGTTGGAGGAAAGCCCCTGCCATCATGGCTGTGCAGGTCATAGGAGTTCCCCACTTCGGTGAAACCTTCGGGAGTGACTGATAGAGTGATAGAGTGAGTGATAGAGTGAGTGATAGAGTGAGTGAGTGAGTGATAGTGTGTGAGTGAGTGAGTGAGTGAGTGAGTGAGTGAGTGAGTGAGTGAGTGAGTGAGTTTGATGTTGGATGAAAGCCCCCGCCATCATGGCTGTGCAGGTCATAGACGTTCCCCACTTCGGTGAAACCTTTGGAAGTCAAGTGTTTCAGGATAAGGGAGATAATCCGCTGATCCTGACCGAGGGAAACAACTGCTCTGTTCGGATGTCAATTGTTAAAAAATCTTATTTCCACAATTGCCGAACTAGACCCGAATTTCAGTGTTGTTTTGGCTGAATTAACAAGTCTATACATAGTCCAATCAAAATCGCATAACAAAACTGACATCTGGTTCATAAACTGCCATGCAGATATCACTCAATGGCAGGATTTGCAAAGCATGTGTACCATAAACTGGGTGTTGACAGATATTCTCCAAATCTTTTCATGTATTAAATCAAGGTGCTCACGTGACTTGATGCATCATAAGGCAAGACCCATTACATAACAATATTAGATCTTTATTATCGATCAGACCATCTTCTGATTGTTTGAAGCAAATGCAAGTAATATGAGAGGTGGAATCTGATTGGTCAATAGAAGGGACAAAGTAGGGACATTACTCGTAATAGCCACTGGTGGCGCTATAAAAGAGGAACTCAACCTTGTAAGAAAAGAGAGGTAACTTGATTTTTAAACTCCCTTGCCTCGGAAAGACGGAATATTTGCAACTGAACTTATTGGTTGAGTGAACATAATGTTCTTCCATACTGCATTTCAGTCCCAACAATTGTGTAAAAGATATTTGAAGTTTATAAAAACCTACATACAAAAGATTTTTTAATCTGTTCAAATATATGGATGCCTGCTAGTACGTCCATTGTGGCATTAATCAAGACCTTGAACTAGATTAGAAACCAAATGGCCTTAGAAACGTTAGTACCTTGTCAATGCAGGCCCCCTTCTTCTGGGCGTAGGCTCCCCACAGCATGAAGACGATCCCCTCCCCATTTTTGTTGAGCCAGGAGATGACAGCGTCAGTGAACTTCTCCCAGCCCTTGCCGGCGTGGGAGTTGGCGTTGTGGGCGCGCACGGTCAGACAGGCATTGAGGAGCAGCACACCTACAGACAGGTGATGGAGAGAGGATGGAGGGAGGCTTTGCATCATACAGAGCAGTTTGATAGAGACAAGGAAAACAAGCATATAGTTGACAAAGTCATCTATATCCCCCGCCCATTTTAACACGTTATGGTCCCAAACCAGGAAACTGACCCAACATTTCTCTTAGCCCATGTCAAAATAGCTGCAATGGTAATTCTAAAATAAACATTTCAAACACTCCTTAATATCAAATGGCACTAGTTGAGTATGTGCTTTATATATAGACATGCAATGTTTGGCAAGGAAATATTTAACAGTTTATTTGTTATACTACTTAAGTAAACCAATCCTATGTTAAAACTTAAATCCAACTTGTTGTAATGGAAACATAAACAATAAAAAATTCTAAAAGTGCTATATATCAAAAGGCACCAGTTCAGTATGTGCCTGGTAGACATGCAAGTTTTGTAAGAAAGTTTTAGAGTTACACTCTGGAAACGAACACCACCCCTGTAGAACCTAAGTCCAACTTATTGCCATGGAAACGTGAAAAATAAAAATTTCTAAAATTCCTAAATAGCAAGAGGCACCAGTCCAGTATGTGTCTGGTAAACATGCACAGTTTTTGTTGGAAAGTATTGAATGGGTTTTGAGTTATGCTCTGGAAACAAACTCTACCCTATAGAACCTAAGTCCAACTTGTTGCCATGGAAACATAAAACATAAATATTTATAAACTCCTAAATAGCAAAAGGCACCAGTTCAGTATGTGTCTGGTAAACATGCAAAGTTTTGTAAGAAATTATTTAACGGTTTGAGTTACGCTCCGGAAACGATCAGCACCCTTATAGAACCTAAGTCCAACTTCTGGCAATGGAAACGTAAAAAATAAAAAATGATAAAATTCCTAAATAGCAAAAGGCACCAGTTCAGCATGAGTCTGATAGACATGCAAAGTTTCGTAGAGAAATATTAAACGGTTTCTGAGTTATGCTCTGGTAACGATTTCGGGACGCACACACACACACACACACGGATGGAACCCATTTCTATACCCCCCGCCAACTTCGTTGGGGCGGGGGATAATTATTTTAACAGATGCCACAGCGAGTGAGCTGGGTTTTATAGCACTTCTAGGGTTATTCCAGCTATAACATGCCAGGGATACAGTAATGGGCACAGTGTACCTGAGTGGGGAATAGAGTCTAACACTGCACCACCTGTAGAACTTAAATCTGAACATGTTGAGTATTATCAGTTCAAGTGGAGAAGATTGAAATCAAGTTTGGTTGACTCAAGCTACAGTCAAGTGGCCTAGTCTTCTTCAACAAGTGGTCCCAGCCTGCTTCAACAAGTGGTCCCAGCCTGCTTTAACAAGTGGTCCCAGCCTGCTTCAACAAGCCTGCTTCAACAAGTGGTCCCAGCCTGCTTCAACAAGCCTGCTTCAACAAGTGGTCCCAGCCTGCTTCAACAAGTGGTCCCAGCCTGCTTCAACAAGGTCCCAGCCTGCTTCAGACCAGTGGTCCCAGCTTGCTTCAACAAGTGGTCCCAGCCTGCTTCAGACAAGTGGTGCCAGCCTGCTTCAAGAAGTGGTCCAGTCTGCTTCAAGAAGTGGTCCCAGCCTGCTTCAACAAGTGGTCCAGTCTGCTGCTCACCTTGTCTGGCCCAGCCATTGAGGGTGCCGTGGCCCGGCTGCTCAAAACCATCGATGTCCTTCGCGAGCTCCTTGTACATGTTCACCAGGCTGTGAACAAAGAGGCGAGGTGAGGTGAAATGGGGTTTAACGTCACGTCCAAGATTATTGTACTTATATAGCAATGTGTGTGGCTGCTTGTACTAGGCCGGACTGATGCCGATTTATAGTGCTAGCTCATTGAGATACCATGTCGCAGTTTAACATGAATACCCCACTCAAACACAGTTTACTGACTCCGAGCCGCCCAGTCCTTGTTTTAGCCCCTTAATGCCGAGCACCAGACAGGGTAACAACAAGTACCATCTTTTAAAGTATTTTGGTATGACGCGGCCGGGGATTGAACTCCGGACCTTCCGCTCTCCAGGCGGACGCTCTACCACTAGACCACGGAGGCGGTCGTGAACAAAGAGTGAGTGAGTGGGTGAGTGAGTGAGTGGGTGAGTGAGTGAGTGGGTGAGTGAGTGGGTGAGTGACATTTAGGAATGGATTAACAACACTAACACTGTCCTTACCAATTGTCTTACAAAAGACACCAGTTCAACATTTGGTTGCTGTGTTTGCAATTTTTGTAACTATGAACAGATTTTGAGTTCTGCAGCAACAACCCAACCTCTACTAAGTTTTAGTCCAACATGAAATGTCCCTAATTAGCAAAAGGCCCCAGTTCACTACTGATTGATGTATGTGCACCAATTCATGATGAATTCATGAAAGGTTTTTGAGTTCTGCTCCATAAACGTACCCCACCAGAACATAAATAATGGCATAAGTTCCACGTATTTCCATGGAAATGCCAAAAGATATCCAAACATTTAAAGTCCCTATTCAAAACACCAGTGCCCATTCTGGTGGACAGCTGTGTTAAGTTGCATGAAGAAATAGAGGACAGATTTTGAGCCCTCACTCCGAACTGAGTCAAAGTCCAACTTGTTTCCATGCAAAACAACATCAGACAGCAGTGGTCGACCTGATTGATGGATGTGATCAGTTCTATGACCTGATCGATGGATGTGATCAGTTCTATGACCTGATCAATGGATGTGATCAGTTCTATGACCTGATCGATGGATGTGATCAGTTCTATGACCTGATCGATGGATGTGATCAGTTCTATGACCTGATTGATGGATGTGATCAGTTCTATGACCTGATCAATGGATGTGATCAGTTCTATGACCTGATCGATGGATGTGATCAGTTCTATGACCCGATCGATGGATGTGATCATTTCCATGACCTGATTGATGGATGTGATCAGTTCTATGACCTGATCAATGGATGTGATCAGTTCTATGACCCGATTGATGGATGTGATCAGTTCCATGACCTGATCGATGGATGTGATCAGTTCTATGACCTGATTGATGGATGTGATCAGTTCTATGACCTGATTGATGGATGTGATCAGTTCTATGACCTGATCGATGGATGTGATCAGTTCTATGACCTGATTGATGGATGTGATCAGTTCTATGACCTGATTGATGGATGTGATCAGTTCTATGACCTGAATGATGGATGTGATCAGTTCTATGACCTGATCAATGGAAGTGATCAGTTCTATGACCTGATTGATGGATGTGATCAGTTCTGTGATGGAGTGTGAACCAACAGACTGATTGCTACTATACTATTTTCCACCCTGCATTATCTACCAGGGGGATAAAAGCAAAAACAGCCCATGAAATGTAATGCACATAATAATTAGAGCAATATAAAATACTATTTCTGACCTGGGTGGAGGTTGGACCCCTTGTTGTACACTAAAACACAGGCCTGGAAGAAGACGAAAATATCAGAGTAATATCGCACTGGTCATATCACCTGTACTGATAACAACAGTGTCTTAGCAAAGTATCAACTTGATAAATTACATTATCTTAACATAATATCTTGAAAGATGACAAAAATATCCTAGAGTACATCAACTTGATTGATAACAACAGTATCCTAGAGTACATCAACTTGATTGATAACAACAGTATCCTAGAGTACATCAACTTGATTGATAACAACAGTATCCTAGAGTACATCAACTTGATTGATAACAACAGTATCCTAGAGTACATCAACTTTATTGATAACAACAGTATCCTAGAGTACATCAACTTGATTGATAACAACAGTATCCTAGAGTACATCAACTTTATTGATAACAACAGTATCCTAGAGTACATCAACTTGATTGATAACAGTATCCTAGAGTACATCAATTTGATTGATAACAACAGTATCCTAGAGTACATCAACTTTATTGATAACAACAGTATCCTAGAGTACATCAACTTGATTGATAACAACAGTATCCTAGAGTACATCAACTTGATTGATAACAACAGTATCCTAGAGTACATCAACTTGATTGATAACAACAGTATCCTAGAGTACATCAACTTGATTGATAACAACAGTATCCTAGAGTACATCAACTTGATTGATAACAACAGTATCGTTGAGTACATCAACTTGATTGATAACAGTATCCTAGAGTCACATTACTTTGACAACAACAGTATCCTAGAGTACATTAACTTGACTGATAAAATCACTCCCATCATGAAGTCATTTTATCAGTTCAAAAGCAAAATATCTCCTGGGTTAAAACAAAACTATATCTCTTTATTCATATACTTTCATAAATGGGCAGAGTACCCACCATGTGCCTGCTTGGGTCCATGGTACGGGTCCTGTCCTAGTATCACGACCTTCACCTATACAGCAAACAGAATGCTACAGTCAAGGTCATGCAAAACATAGCTCGGACATTACACCTTCACAGCAAACACAGAACACTGTGATGTAGAACATATCTCCGACTATAGTATGTTTGTTTGTTGTTCAACACTGCATTCAGCAATATTCCAGCTATATGTCGATGGTCTCTAAATAACTGAGTCTATAATTCAGTCATTGGCATCATGAGCATCAATCTATGCAACTGGGATATGATGACATGCATCAACCAAGTCAGCGAGCCTGACCACCCGATCCCGATAGTTGCTTCTTACGACAAGAGTAGTCTCCTCTAACGGCAACCATTGGTTCCTGAATACGTATTCTCTACTCAAATCTTCAAGGGACTCTCGGATTATAGGTAGTCATCAGATCATGATTGAGAATACTACTGACTTGACACAGAGCTCCAGATAACTTTTTGAGCAATTGAGTTTTTACTCTTGGGTTTCTATTTTAATTGGGTAATTACATTTTTCATTGGGTAACCTATATTTTTTCACTCAACTATTCATCACTCTATTGGGTTTTTCCCAAAATTAATGAACATTTTAAGATTTTGAAAAAATGAAATAATGTTTTGGATGTATATAACTGTTCTTGATACATAGGCTTGACTCGGAAAGTAATTATCTCGTAATTGTGTTTCAGAAATAAGCTCTTTTGCACGCATGCTAAAAAGCTTTATTGGGTAATTTACGAGAGCTGTTTTATACATCTGACTTCTTCATTTAATGCATGCGTTTCTGTACGTAAGTTAATTGAAAGTAATTGGGTTTTGAATAAAAAAAATTGGGGGGGGTGTGTGTATTTTATGCAAATACGCTGCCTATCTGTAGCTCTGCTTGACACATGTATAGAGTGACCTGATGACACTATGGGATAGCATTGTTGTGGAGTTTGCTCTCAAAATATCAAAGAGTAAAAGTTGTACATGTTTCCTTTGGTTCTCCTCGAAAATTGAAACTTACTTGATCAATGTCCGAGGTTTGGGTCCAGCTAAACACCTGATCTACCGGCGGATAGATGGTAGACTTGCTTCGCTCTTTCTGAACAAACTCACTCAGCTGGGGAGACAAATTACAAAATGGTCAGTCAGAGATCCCTCAAAATCCTGGGATGCAATACAAGTCAATCAAGTGTGTGTGTGCGTGCGTGCGTGCGTGCGTTCGTGCGTGCATGTGCATGCGTGCGTGCGTGCCTGTTGTGTTTGTGTTCTTTAACGCCATACTTAGCAAATTTTTAAGCTTTATGAGTGAGTGAGTGAATATGGTTTTACGTCACTTTTAGCAATATTCCAGCAATATCACGGCAGGGGACACCAGAAATGAGCTTCACACATTGTACCCATGTGGGGAATCGAACCTGGATCTTCGGCGTGACGAGCGAACGCTTTAACCTCTAGGCTACCCATTCGCCCCTTCAGCTTTATGACAGTATGGACCTGACAATCCAGTGATTGATATTGTGAGCAACGATCCATGCCATTAGGGTAAGATGACACACAATCAACCAAATCACCAAGCCTGACCACCCGATCCATTAGGTCGCCTCTTACGGCCAGCATAGGTTGTTGGGGACCAATTCTAACCCTCACTCCCATTCGGACTAGTTTTGTAAAATTGACCAGTGCATATTTCACCTCAAGAAAGTAGGTCTTAGAAAATTCAGGCTCCAAAGCCTTCAGCCATGTTTTCCCAACATTGACAACAAGACCTGAGGTTTTCTTGGCATGGATTTTGGCTAGCGCCGTTATCCGGTTTTCTTCTATTTTCTTGTGTTGATCTGGAGACAAAGTCTGTGAGCTTGGTGAGACCTCTTCCTTACCAGCTGGAATGCTGTCTGGTTTATTCTTCTTTGGGGGGGTGTTCTGAAATGCCAATATTGTTGTTTATTCATTTGAAGTGATATTACAAAACAGTGTTATCAGAGTACACCAACCCTTTAGTCTGTTTGTTAGGGAGCCAACAAATATCTCAAACAAATATTGTCGCCAGTTATGTTTAGTTTTAGGTAGCCACCTTATGAGCTGTAGATGAATTTAGGAGGCCAATCATAGTTTTAAGTCACATTTAGCCACAAAAACGGTCGCTCCTTAGCAGTACACTAGGGCTGTTACGATTCACTCATGTATTCAGTGAATCGAACCATATCCATTCATGGATTGAATTTGTTATTCTTGGCCACTAGAATTGAATATTCATAAATATGCAATCATGTGCATTGACCAATCTCATTAAAATCAGATCTTAGTTTTCGCTACCGCTAAACAAAGATCTGAAGACATCCCATTACGGGTCACATCAGAACAACCTTTCGCGAATTTTGACCGACCATTGAAATGACTGACAAGAAATCGACATTAGCCAATCAGAAGGCAGCTTTCTCAAGCTTTAAGACACTAGTTTCAAACTGGCGACTACACTTCAAAACATATTCTGACGTATTCTCGATTAAAAAAATTAAAACTAATAAGAAGAACATTCTTGAATGGCTTATAGATGGCCTAGATTGTATGGATATAATCATAAAGACCGTAGCGTGTTAAATATTTCGTGGTTGCATAATTAGAAAACACATGCCGACTGTCACTTTCATGATCTGGTAAGCGACGCTGATTGGTTGGATGAAAGGTCGTTCTGACGTGACCCGTAATGGGATGTCCTCAGATCTTTATTTAGTGATAGCGAGAACTAAGATCTGATTTTAATGAGATTGGTGCATTTACATACCCTGTACCTAAAAATATACATATATGCATAGATTTCTTCAAAGACAACACTCTTAGTCTTATATGTAATTTGACAGTAATGTGGTCACTGGTCATTTGATATTTGAGCAGATAGTACCTGGATAAGTGCAGTATATAAATATATAAATATACTAATAATGAACAAACCATGTCAAAACAAGAGTCATCAGAAAGATGATATATAGCCCCAGCAGCTGTCTGTAAAGTAACCACAAGTAAATGTGCAATTCTGTATGTAACATGTGTAATGAGTCAAGAGTTGAATGTTCTTGAAGAAGCAAACATTGTTTCCCCAATAAAGATTCACCATGGTCGCATCCATATGAAATGGAAAGTAAAACAAGTGTGTTTCTGTGGTTTTTTTTATACAAACAAATGACAAATTACAAGAAACAATAACTAAATTAGATACTGTAAATAGAAACAATTCTTTTCAAACTTTGAAAATACTCTCCAAAAACAAGTCGCGCAAAATTATCCGTGAAACTAGCAATCGTGTCCTTGTCCAACTTCTTTCCATAAAGATTTTTAAAAATTACAAAATAGCAAAAGGCACCACTTTAGCATGTGACTGATACATCTTTCAAGTTTTGACCGAATATACTGAATGGTTTTCGAGTTCTGCCCCGGAAACGAACCCCATCCCCAATGGAGTCAATGTCCAACTTCTTTCCATAAAAATTTAAAAATTTTAAAAAAAAAATTCGAAAAAATCCCAAAATATCAGGAGGCACCACTTCAGTATGTGACTGATAGATTTGCCAAGTTTCGATCAAATACACTGAATGGTTTTCCGAGTTCTGCCTTGGAAGAGGAAATGATTACGGACAGACAGACCCCCCCCGCATTATATGCCGGGGGGGGGGGGAAATAAAAATTCTGTTTCTTTTGATTCACTGAATATAACAAATAATACATCAACTGCTGATTTGTTATTGTATTCGTATTCATTACCCAATATTTGTGATATAAATCGTATTTGCTTCATAGTGTATTTCATTACACATATTTTCACTGAAGTCAGAACTATGGTTACATATATCCATGAATTCATTATTTCAGTATAAAGAAGATAATAAGCTTATTTTTCTACAGCTACTAATGTATTTTGGAAACTGACTGAAAGGTGACATACAGTAGAACAAATCAACAATAATATAATTTGATTTGGTCTAATTAATGGTCAGTGAGACTACTGTTCGTTCCATCACACTAAAATATTTATAGAAGTAAAGCCCCACTTACTGAGTATTTTCTACAATCCTGAAATAAAATCGTGTTTCTCTATCACTTCCCACGCTCGCACGATATGATCTGTCAGAACACTGAATATAATTACAATAAACTACGGTTATAACAAACTCAAAGGACCACCAACTCTAGTTTGTTATATCCGTCGTTCGTTATACATGTTATACACATTTTGACCATCAGACATCTTTTATCAAGTCATATGACATCATGTTACTCGATAAATAACAAAAGTGAGCACTGTACATGTACAGAATATATCCACTTCAATCACTGTGTTACTGTTGTTAATTGAGGGTGTAATTTGAGGACAAGGTGTCAATACTTAAACATGTTAAAGGGCAAGTTCACACGGAAATGAACCTATTTTTCTTGTACTTTTTCCACATTAAAAGTGTTAACCTAGTAGTGTCATAGACAAAAATATAAAAATATCACAATTAATTAACATATTTTTTGCATTAAAACGATTTATATTTTTCACATTTACCGAGTGTTCTATTTCCATAACAAAAACACCATGGCCTATGCCCCTTGCAATATGACGTCATTGGTGCCAATTGATAAACATTATGACGTCATCATGCTTTGTTAGAGCCGCTTCACGTGGTGTAGGTACAGGTGTGTTTCTAGCGTCTCAGATGCCAGCCAGCATAGTGTTATGCTGAGTCACCACTGCACCGGAGTGTGTCGTAGGCCATGTTGTTTTACCGCAAACTGGTACCTGATATCTTTTGTGTTGAGAATAGACAGGGACCCAGTTGAATTGGCACCAATTACGTCATAATCTAAGGGGGATAACTCAGGCCTGTTTAGCTCGAAAAACGAAGGCCTCATAACGGCATATCATTTTCACACTATTGTGAGCTTCCCACTTTCACTGTGAAAAAAATGAGTTTATATTTTCAAACACAGATACTAACTAATTCTAAAATTGCGTTTTGTTTAGAAAAAGAAAGAACGTGATTTTTGCGCGTACACTTCCCCTTTAAGAGTAAATCAATTGCCTTCAATTTCTTATTGACGCTTTGAACAGCAGCGCTTGGCCGCGGATGTTTTGATAGGCAGATTGGTGACAGGTGAGGAGCTCAGGTCAGGGGTTAACAGTTCGTTATACACTTAAACATTATCGTTGACAGAGTACACAGGGCCACAAGGTGTGTTTGCTATATCTGTTATATTGTTATGAGCGTGTTCATTATATCCATCAACTTTGTATGATAAAATGGGAAATGTCTCGGACCAAAAGAACAGTTTGTTATATCCGTAAGTTTGTTATAAGTGTGTTCGTTACAAACGTAGTTTACTGTATGTAATGTGTTACAGTAGCCAGCATCAACTGAAACATGGTTCTAGAATAAGAGCGAGTTAATGTCTCTTTGAACAGTTCTCGAAGGTGTGTTAGCTTAATGTGGGAGGAAAGCACGAAGTGATGCAGGTCTCTGACATTTACCACTTTGGTGAAACCCACGAGCACAGGTGCTGACTAACCTAGAAACATAATCGAGGAGAACTGGAATTTTAACCGTGACTCAAACCCTCAATCATAGGATTCTGGCATGCCCAAGGGACACAACTCTGCACAGCGAATTGTGGCACCTTAGTCGACTGGGCCACCCATGCCCCCCGATCCTAAGCATAAGAAGTTCTAGCCTTAACAAACCATTTTTGTCAAAAATAGAAAGACTCCAAACAACTGCCAGCCAATAGCCCGTGGCTAGTGAAATTTGTCAGGCGGAGCACCTTTAGAATACAGTACCACAGTACTGCCAAAGGTCACATGTCACAAAGACAAACAAATTCTTGTGAGAATCCATCGGACGCAAATCGTGACCCTCGGATTGTTAGCCCGACAGCTAACCGACTGAGCTACATCCATGGGCGTAACTATTACCAGAAGGATGAGTCGTGAAACACTACTGCCGATTTGCTGTTTGACGTCCGGTATTCATTTTATCCAATCAGAATGCTTGTGTTTACTAAGGGATGAAATGACTAGGCACAGACGTTTTACAATCAAAGTCAAAGTAAGACTTACTAGTAAACGTCTTTGCAGATATGAAACTGAATGATCGGAGTTATTGACTCGTTAGGAGGGTCAGAAATAACAAGCCAGTCAGGCTAGCAGTTTCAAAACGATTAGCCTGACAGGCCTACCTTTAGAATACAGTACCACAAACTTTTCAAACACGTGACAATACCCTATGACATAATTTGTAGTATTCTGTTGCCAGTTACACTGGCAAAACAATGCACTGTGAAGTCAGGGGCCATCGAGTGTGCATAAGCTCCTCCCCGTGATCTGTCATCTCTACACGAAATGTCACTGAATACGCCAAGCGCTGTGGAGAGTTTTGAATATTTGTTTACTGAATATAGCCTGCGGTGGCGCATTTTATAGCAAGTGCTAGTTTACAAAAGCACTTTTTTTTTTTATATATTTTTTTTTTTCTCGTAATTCAAGTGGATAAAAGGGTTATAAATGGGAATTAATATACATATATTATTTTTTCGGTTCATCAATTTTCATTACTATGCACAAGAATGTAATTTATTAGGGATATTATATTGGCGCTGAACACATCCAAATATCGCTAGTGTTAGGGTAGGTTACCTCGAACTCTGTATCCTCAGCCCTTGGATCCCCTTTATGATCAATTATCCCTTTACGATCATTAGGGTCAGGTACCCGTTTAGTTTCTATTATAGATTCTATAGCGGCTCCTAATATTCTTCACGCAAAAACATCGAGTAAAAAGAATGAAATGGTTTTGTGTCTAATACTTTGGCTACTGGAAACTGTCCTGGAACATTCACACAAGCCACTTTCACCTGCTACATTTTTTCAGTACTGATTCAAAAGCGAACTCACTGTTGTGTCGTCACTAGACATGCAAATGCCTCCCTCGTTCCTTACTATTATCCACATCATCCTTACAGTGTTCCCTACCACACTTTTCTGTCACAAAATACACCCGACGAATTATTAAATACCATGTCATTCATGCATACTCGCGAGTTCGACGTCTGACGCCATTTTCAGTTTGCACCATATTGGATCATTCCTTGGGATCATTCCTCCGGATAACTCGTAAGTGTCAATAGACTAAAGTCACAAGACACCATGCCTACCCGTAACCTTCGTAAGTGTCAGTCACCTATTCGACCCTTTTTGCTCAGTTCCGTAACATCTTAGGCATGACTAGGTAAATTTGAACTTTGTTTCACAGTGTGGATGTGGCTGAGTCGGTTAGCTGTTGGGCTAACAATCCGAAGGTTGCGAGTTCGCGTCCGACGGATTCTTACAAAAACTGGTTGCTTGTCTTTGAGACATGTGACCTACGGCAGATCGAGACCGTCCTCACGAGAAGTTGTGGTACTGTATTCTTAAGGTGCTCCAGAAAGTATTTTTGTCCATTTAAATCAGATAACAACATAGCAAACAGCTTGGGGGCAAGTCGACATACCGTATTCGACTAATTATAATACCCCTCAGTTTGAAAAAAAGAATTCTACTTTCTTGTGAGACAAATCGATATATCCTTCCCCTCTGTTGCTGTCAATTGTCTATATCGTAATGAAACATCCAGAGGTTCAAGTGAACTGGAATTGGTGGTGATGATAAGCGCCCACGTTGAAAACCTTTTTTATATGCACGCGCGCTCAATATATCAAATACGGTAGCCGAAATCCTGGCAGTAGTTAAAAGCAAACCCTGGTTACCTGGTCTATGGCAGTGTCTGCTGACCTCTTAGCGTTCTTCGGGCTGAAAAAGGATGAGATCTTCGCTTGACCTATCATGCCGCTGATCTGTAGGTTAAATGCACTGTCAAGTGGCCAGCAACTATAAACACGGAAGGTCGATTCACTTCCGAATCTACGCAGGTACTGCATGTGCTATTTCCCGCCATATGTCAACTCGAAAGGTGAAGGTTGTTAAACAGCCAGTCAATTATTCTGTACTTGATCTTTCGTCCGAAATAGCCAATCATATACCGTGTTAGATACAGTGGCACGACCGTTTTTGTTTATTGCGGAAGTGGATGCGGATGAGTGATCATGACTTGTTCTAAGCCGACAATTAACGCGAGCTAACCCTCCCCAGGGTAAATCTTGAGGGACATGCCGATCAACGGTGATGATTAGGTTTTGGGAACCAACGACAGGTAACGCCTCAAACAAAATGTCGATTTAGAATATCATCATGAATATTAGCTAAGCTAGAAACATGAATTATCTGAGCTGGAAATTCGCCGATAACTGCTGATACAACACCATAACATTTGACGTTTGTATCATTATCAACTTAACATTCCGATTATCAGTGTCAGCATGAGGTGTGCAGATTAGGCTGACATTTGAGTTTGCCACCTCGACAAAGTTATCGTCATCTTTAGTTGCCAGTTTATTAATGTTATGTCGGTGCAGAGACTATGGTCTCAGTCGGTGTAACTCATCTAGCAATAATAAGTGAAGGATTGTTTTTGTTGTGGTTACCTGCTTTCGCGATCGATGAATTTGCAGTCCTGAAATTTCATTAGACTTAAGGGAGTTATTCATAAACGTTTGCTTCACTACGTCTAGGACGATATGCACTGGAGACAAATGATGAAAAGACTGTGAATGTCAGGACAAATTGTGCTGAGTCATATCACTTCTCCAGGATCTATGTGTCATACTAGAAGTTACACTTGTCATTACAGACTGTAGTATATAAGTATATATATATATGTTACTGTTAATTTAGTAGACATTCATCTTACATCAGCCAAAGATGCATTCTGCGATCACGGAAAGATTTGCAGAAAATGTAACTTACCACAGAATTGCAGACAAATCGCTGAATTTGCCATTAAGTTATTAATGGTATTAAGTTATGACTACATACACCTGACCATAAATGCAAGAGATTACAATTTTTATAGACTGAAAATGAGTTTGTATAACTTTTTTAGGGGGGGGGGGGGGCATGGTTATGTTTTTACTGCAGAATTTATTCCAGAATTTTGTACATTTAGCCACAAACTTTTGATAAGAATTTGTGTAGGACTGTTATATGCTGATGGCCTTGGCTGTCTGGTGTTAAACATGATTGGAAGTACCATATTTTAGTTCATAGCATTTGTGATAAGGTAATGATTAAAATATGTAACATACTTCCATACTTGTCTCCTTCCATTTGTTAGATTTGCAGACATTAATTACCTCTACAGCATGCTTCTTCTAGAAATAAATTCTCCACAAAATTTTGGAGCATTTCATAAAAAAGTACTTGCCTACCAATCTGTCCTAATTTACTTCAGCATGTACTACTACTAGTAATCAACAGGGCTGGCAAAAAAGATTGATAATCGGAATTATCATTATGGGAAGAAATATTAACGATTATTGATGTGATAATTGTGTCCTTGATAATACCTTACATGAACTATTGTGATGAAATAAATTTTAGATTTACCAAAGCAGACTTGTTATTGTCAATAATGTAATTGCTGAAGATGGAAAGTAACTGTTTTTGTTATATTTCAAATGTCTACAAAGTAATCCCTGCATAATTGTGCCACCACTCACCAGTAGGGTGACATATGTTGATTTCATCTGCAATTTTGTTGGCATATTTACTCAAAGATATTTCTCTGATATTTCTCAATAATTGATCAATATTTAGTTAACAATTATCAATCTCTATGATCTGTGTGGATAGCCAGCCTGAGCAATCAACACATACAGCCTTTTGCTTATCATCCCAATGCATTATCATGTGTTTGATTATGTTATTCCCTGCATGTTAAACTTGATATACCGTATTCGACATAATAAGCGCACAGGGCGCTCTCAAATTTAGAAATAGGGGGCTCTTATTAGAATATTATTTTGGTGAAAAAAACAGATTTGAAAGATAAATTTTGTGGTTAATGCTGACAGCCTGAAATGTTATATACGACAGATATATTTTTCCAGAAATTAACTGCCTATAATTAAGGGTGCATATAACACACGAGTATGTATTTTACGCCAATAAATAAGTCTTTTGTACATTGATCAATCGGAAGGGGTGCTAATTGGGATTGTTCACTAGCCAATACATTAGCAAATATCGCTGTGTGTGCTTATTACGTCGAATACGGTATATCATTATGTCAATGTATGTGTATTCTGTTTCACTAGCAGAAATGAACACCAGTGTGGAACACCAATGTGGAACACCAATGTAGAACACCGTTCGTTGTCCCAGAGGGAAACTTGAAACTTGAGTCTGTAGAATTCCTGCTGTAAGGATGCATCAAGAAGTGTGATAGCCTGGACTCCAGACCATCACACTTCTTGATGCATCCTTACAGCAGACTCTGGAGAGAAGCATTTTGTGTGTCAGCAGTCAATATCCTTGATTTAAACTATGTCAATGTATGTGTATTCTGTTTCACTTGCAGAAATGAACACCAGTGTAGAACACCAAAGTAGAACACCGTTGTCCCAGAGATCAGCTGAACAGAAGCTATTCCTGTGACACATGGGAAACTTGAGTCTGTAGAGTTCCTGCTGTAAGGATGCATCAAGAAGTGTGATAGCCTGGAGAGAAGCATTTTGTGTCTCAGCAGTCAATATCCTTGATTTAAACTTGACTCATACAGCCTGACATTTCTACACAATGGCGACCAGCCCGATGAGCCCAACTGCTCCAGGGACTGTGGGATGGCCTTTGGTTGGAGATAAATCATATGAATTCTACAAAAACCCAAGAGATTTTCTAAACAAGTACATGACACAAAACAAATCCAGGGTGTTTTCTGTCCGCTTCCTGAACAAGCCCACAGTGTTTGTGTGTTCCAACAGCGGAGTGGAGAAAGTGCTGGCAGGTAGGCCTCAATAGCATTGGCAGTGGGAGTGAAGACAACCATGGATTATAAGTAAACTAGTGACCATGATGAAATATTCCTGAATTGTCCATTGTCTACACACTATGTAATGGTATATATCTCCCTTCTGTTATCATCCCCGTGAAGATCGGGGTAGAATAGGTCTTCAGCAACCCATGCTTGCTGTAAAAGGTGACTCTGCTTGTCTATGAGGCGACTAACGGGATCAGGTGGTCAGGCTTGCTTACGTGGTTCCCAATTATGTGGATCAATTCTCAAGATGTCAATCACTGGATTGTCTGGTCCAGCCTTGATTATTTACAGACTGCTGTCATACAGCTGGATAATTGCTGAGCGCGGCGTTAAACAACTAACGAACAAACTATTATGATTAGTGCCCTGGCCTGATTATACCATGGCTTCATTTTCAAGTGATGTGCTGAAAATTGCTCCCATCTCGCTCCTTAGCGACAGAAAATGTGTGAAAAGTTAGTGATGTGAGGAAGTGACATCACTTCTGAACGTTGGTGCACCTGGTGTATGTTAATATTAACACTTTGTTGCCAAGGACAAAACCAGGTTGTTGTGTGGAAATGTAAGGCTGTAAATGTCGATTGGAAATAGTTTGACTGCAGCCATGGAAAAAATGTATTGAGATACACTTTTAAATCAATCTGGTCATTCATACACTGACGTTGACTGAAGTTTTATCTTTATTCAAACATATAAAAGTCTGGGTGCATAGTCAGAAAGAAATGCGAACATTAGTGACTTGTAGTGTAACCATATAGTTCAAGATTATTTTTGTCACTAAACAATATATCACATGACCAACCACGGGTCTGGGGTGGTTCTGTGGGTACCCGGGTCCTTCTCAGTACCCACCCGACCTGAGTACCCGAGTTACCCGACCCCAGCCTTACTGACACCGCTTCTTAAAGGAAGCTATGGGTCCAGGGTATTTATTGTGATTGAAAGGAGATAGAACACAGTAGATAAATAATATTCAAGGATGTGGTAACATGGCTAGCCCTCTAACTTGAACATGTTGGAGGAATATTTCTTACAAATGTATGTTCATGGTGGAATTGTAATTAGCTCAAGATTGGTGATTGCCATGGAAACCAGCTTAATATCGTTATCATGATTATTGGTGTGATTTTCTGGGAAACTTTCTTTGCTTCTTGTTCCAGATGAGTTTTATCATGAAGCAAGTTATATTATAAGTGCTCAAGGAAGTAGTATTGTATGTGATGGTGACTGAATGATTCAGTGAATCGTGTGCTGCTTCATCCTGTGTGTGACATCTTCATCCTTTGTGTGACTCAACACGTATCATGCACTGAATGAACTTCTCCTCCCGAGCTTCATCTTAATGAATTACTCTCAGTCTACGAAGCTGAGGATTATAGTCAAGTGCCCTTATGATAGCCCAAGTGTTAAGTGAGTGAGTGAGTGAGTAGTGTTTTATGCCATTTTTAGCAATATTCCAGCAATATCACAGCGGGGGACACCACAAATGGGCTTCACACATTGCACCCATATGGGGAATCGACCCTGTGTCTTTGGCATGACGAGCAAACGCTTTAACCACAAGACTACCCACTGTCCCAAGTGTTAAATGAAACATTCACAGGATGTTTAGAATCAAATACAACAGCAGGAACCCCAGGGACTTCAGGACCCCCTTTACTTCTAACACTGGTTCTCCAGCCTCATGTTAGGACAGTGTGACAGGGACCGGATATATCTCGACTTACCGGTACTTGACCCAAGTCAACATAACGTCCCAAACTGGAACAACAGATTCTCCAATTCATGTTACATGAAAGTATAATATAGTTATATAACTAATGTCCTGCTTTGGTAGAGGTGTTTGTTTGTTTGTTGTTTTACGCCGCACTCAGCAATATTCCAGCTATATGACAGCGGCCTGTAAATAATCAAGTCTGGACCAGACAATCCAGTGATTGACATCATGAACATCGATCCACCCTATTGCAATACGATGACATGCATAAATCAAGGCAGCGAGCCTGACCACCCGAGCCTGTTAGTCGCCTCTGACGACAAGCGTAGTCGCCTTTTACGGCAAAAGGTTGCTGAAGACCTATTATACCGCGGATCTTCATGGGTCTTTGGTTGGGGTTTGTCACTGATAACAGGACAAATAGAGAGGAAGAGACTTGCAAACTTTGTTGTACATGATTTCTCAGAAAAATGTTAAATTTGTTGATCTTAAGAAAATTGGAACTTTAAGACAATCTCAATTTTTAATAAAATAATGCTATTCTTCCCAATTTGCCTGCCCTGGGCACACCCTAAGTCCCTTATTGCTAAAGTTTACACTGTAGGGTCGTGTCCTGGCCTCATCATGGCTGTGCCTTGTATTTCAGATGGCGGGGAGCACCTGGAGCTCGGCTACAAGGCATTCATGGGACAGATATTTGGAGACAATATTTTGTTTACCAATGGTGAGTAGTAGATTGGGAAAGGTTACTTACTGTGAGAGGATACAACATAGTAGTTTCCATGGTTACAAAGTGAAGAGGAGTTCATGGATGGATGGATCATTAACTCAGTCCACCACTGTGAAACATTGTTTGATAGGCACTTCTTAGAAGTTTACAAAGAAGTTGTTATCCATAAATTGTGTATATTGTATAACATGGAGAGGGAAATTTCCATCAGAAGAATATGTATAGATAGTCTGGATGGTTGGATTTTGTGAAAAAATAATATTCAAAATCTGTAACCATGGTAACCCACCAAACCTAAAATAACTAAGACAATTCCCTGAGTGTACAACCAATGAGACATAAATATTGCGTCGTCTAAGAAGACACAATTTGCCGTGCAGAGTTGTGTCCCCTTGGCATGCCAGAAACCTATCTTTGTGGGTTTGAATCCCAGTTTGCCCCGATTATGTTTCTGGGTTTGTCAGCACCATTCATGTTCTCGGGGTAACACTTCAGGCTTTCCTTCCAAATTAAGCTGACATGTCATGATATAACTAGAATACTGTTCAAAGCGGAGTTAAATCCAACTCACTCACTCATAAACATGACTTGTTATTACTCAACAAATCAATAATTATATCAACAAATTCACAAGAGTTAATGACTGTTTATTTTTGGATATGCTTCATGAGAATCAATACAATTCATACGAATATCACAATGTTATTTCTCTCAGTGATATTTGCTTGTTCGGCTATAAATTTAGGGAGAGAACCTGATTTATAGGGCTGGGATGATACACCAACTGTGCGATCCAATACGTATCACGATACCTTACTCACGATCCGATATGTATCACGATACTTGCATGTCCTCTAATCTGTGGTCGATTGACAGGATGGCCAAATACCTGCCACACTGATGATTTACAGTTGGCAGTGTCAAGTATATATAAAATACTTATGTTTTCACTATTAACTTGCGCTACTGATTAGTTTTTAGTGGAACAGTTACTGAAGCAAACATTTAAGGTCAATATCGATGTGCGACTTTGAATGATACTTACATCGAGAAGTAAAAAATCGCGATCCACAGATGCATCTGTGTATCATCCAACCACTACTGATTTATTTCATGGACTCTTTGTTATCTCAAAATGAGTAAATCTGTCACGGCAGCTGTTGAAGAGGTAATCAATGTGTGTGTAAGCTAGGGCTTTCTGCAGCTAATCACTTATTGAACGTTCCACCAACCTCAGTCACTGTATACATATGGTATATGTAGCTTGTTAATATACTCACCGCCAAAAGAAACACGAACCATAGAAACACATAGAGAAGTGTGTACGTCAAGAAGATATGTTTCCAATGTGTACCAATTAATGACAAAACTAACAATCTGTCAAGTGTTACCACAGAGTGACTTTATTCTTATCACGATATGCTGCACGTAATTTCCCAACTTTAGACGCTAATCCGGTAGGAGACAAATGGTTCATCTGGAGTCATGGTTCTATGACATCACATATGATGCGTCCATGAGTATCGTTTTACGCAACATACCAGTTTGTTCGTTTGTGCATTGAACCAATCTAATATCTCTTGAATACTGTATTTTCTTGAGTATAGTGCGCACCCAAGTATAATGCGCACCCCCCTCTAGCGGATTCAGTATTTTGGAATTTTTTTCCCTATTATTTTGCGCAGAAAAAAATTAGCTGTACACACATTTTCTTGGAATCTACAGGTGATTCGGTTAAAACTTACCCAATCATATAACTTTTAAGGATTTTAATGCAAGGATCGGGAAAAATTGTATCGAATTTTATGCGCAGAAAGAAATTACACCGTACCCCTTCAGTGAATTCCGGTAAACGAACAGGTGATAAGAAACTTGGTCAGTACAAATTCGAAATTTGAGATACAAAATCACCCGACATGTTGATCTACCATTTAAATTGTATTTTTTGTTCTGCTAGGCATTGTTTTACATCCAGGGATTAAGATTACCTTGCATATTTTCTCGTAAACTAAGCCGGAAACAGCAATCAGCTGTACACACGTTTTCTTGGAATCTACAGGTGATTCAGTTAAAACAATGATATAACTTTAATGGATTTTAAAGCAAGGATCAGGAAAAATTGTATCTGAAACTATTTTTTTGATCAGGAATAATATATTCCAATTTTATGTTATTTTAGTTGCAGCTTTAATTAAATATATTTAAAATAATAATAACCCTAAGCATTGCACTTAGGGTGCAGCTTATTGCGATTGCCGGGTTTTTTTTTAACATGGAACAATTTGACCAGTCACCGTCGAGGCACCTGCGCAAGTGATCCCGAGAACTACATGTTGACATAGAATCGACAAACTACAACAAATATGACTTTTAACGAGTCAAAGTATGGCATTTATGATATATGTATCCATTCTCTGTCAACTAAATTTCGTTTCAAGGCGTTAATAGCAGTAATCTGACCGTGGTTGCTGTTAATAACGGTGAGTTGTGCAATCTTCCGATCGCTTCACATACAATTTCGCCGAAATTAATTAAAACAATATTAAAGGGAATTTTGAATAAGATTAATGAAATAAGTTACAAACATAAGTCCATATATACAATGAATACTTTTTATAACCAGACAGTGTAATTACATGATTAATTTGCGTACTTCAGTACAGATTTGTTGACATGGTATTTCCGGTGTTACATGCTCACGGTAATGTCTTTACATTGGGGGAAGAAACAAATCAAAACTCATTATGGTGTGTATAATGCGCACCCTCTTCTACACAGCTGTGTTTTTTATTTAACCACTCAACAAGGACTCTTTTCATCACTTGACTTAGCTACGGCAATCAGGGTTTGCGAGCTCCATTCCCTAGATGTCACTTAAGTCCAGTGGGAACAACGCTCCAGAGGGTCTGTCTATCTTGCCTGTGCTGGGATTTTATAGCCAAAAACCTACAGCCTGGCCAACGGGATAGACGTTTTACCATTCCCCAACCCTCCATTTTATCGTGGGGTTGGAGGACCAGGATGAGCTTCTGCTATTTCCCGTTCGTACCCTCAGAGCCTGCATAGAAGCAGCGAGGCCCAGGAGAACAACTAGACGCAGCCTGTTCATTCCCACCTCACTGACTTGTAAAGGAGAAATATCCAGGAATACCATCTCCTTTTGGCTGAGATCCACAATCCTTCTGGCCTTTGATGCAGCAGTATTGGAGCACCCGGGGGCCCACAACCTGCATGAGATCCACAATCCTGCAGGCCTTTGATGCAGCAGTATTAGACACCCGGGGGCCAACAACCTGCATGAGATCCACAATCCTGTAGGCCTTTGATGCAGCAGTATTGGAGCACCAAGTTGCCAACAACCTCAACCATGCTCTCCACCGAATCTGTTTGATCCAGTCCATCATGCAGGGCTGCTTTTGGAGCTCTACCACTGTCTTCGCGAGCCATTACCTCCAGGATGTGTCCGCATAGTTTTCGGCCGTGTGATTATCTATGTTGGGCAAAAGAATTAATTAAGATGCTGATAGATCGTCATTCATTTCTAGTTAGGACTTCGGGAGTAAGAGCAATGTGCAATACATAATGCAGGATAGGTATATAAAACAAACATAATACTCTGAATAAATGCAGATAAAACTCAAATGATTGACTTGGTTCAGAAGAACTAATGTTAATATTCTCTGTTATATGTAAACTATTGCAACAGCTATTGCACCCCTCTCCCTTTTTTATAATATTTTATGTTATACATGTAATATCTAATAAAAAAATATCAGTGATGTTGGGATTTCAGGAGGTAGTATGTTTCTGTGTTACCATGGTGACTGTTACCTACTTTCTATTACCACAGGTGAGGAGGCGCAGGTGTTAAGACAATCGCTGAGTCAACTTTTTACAGAGGACAGTGTCCGCACCTACCACCAGACCATCGACAGGTACTGCAGTGACATTCCCTCCCTGCTCACATCCGTCACAGGACACATGCAGAGTTGTGTCTCTTTCCCTTTGCCAGGATCTGCTCATTCTAGATTAGCTACGATCATGATCCTATGTCTCTCAGCACTATACCCATGCTCTCTTGCTTTCTCCCACATTAATCGGACATGAAATACTCATACCTGCCAACTGTCCCGAATTTTTCACATTTGTTACGAATTTGCAGCTAAAATAGAAAAATACAATTCCTTTCCACCAGCACCTGGTGTCGTTACTATTTGATAGTGATTCATAGACACCTGCTTATGCTATAATTGGCATCGTACAGTCTGTTTTTGGCAGATATTTCTTATTAATATGGAAAGGGTTTTGTTGCTTCTATTTCAATACGAATATTATGACTAAATTTTCATATCACTGATAAAAGGAGGGTAATTATATAGCTTTACACTGTCTGCTATGAAAACATCCTGCTTATTGACAGGTCAGTTTATGGTGTTGCTTCTGTCCAGTCGGACACTCTATTAGGCTTAAAAAATAAAAGACTTAGTTCTCAGGCAATGATACAGCAGGTGGGCAGTGATTTGTTGTTGTCCCAGACAAGGTCCAAGCCAACCTAGATCCCAGACAAGGTCCCAGACTAGGTCCCAGACAAGGTCCCAACCTAGATCCCAGACAAGGTCCCAGACAAGGTCCCAGACAAGGTCCCAGCCTAGATCCCAGACAAGGTCCCAGACAAGGTCCCAGACAAGGTCCCAACCTAGATCCCAGACAAGGTCCCAGACTAGGTCCCAGCCGAGGTCCCAGACAAGGTCCCAGACTAGGTCCCAGACAAGGTCCCAGACAAGGTCCCAGACTAGGTCCCAGACAAGGTCCCAGACAAGGTCCCAGGCAAGGTCCAAGACAAGGTCCCAGACAAGGTCCCAGACTAGGTCCCAGACAAGGTCCCAGACAAGGTCCCAACCTAGATCCCAGACAAGGTCCAAGACAAGGTCCCAGACAAGGTCCCAGGCAAGGTCCAAGACAAGGTCCAAGACAAGGTCCCAGGCAAGGTCCAAGACAAGGTCCAAGACAAGGTCCCAGGCAAGGTCCAAGACAAGGTCCCAGAAAAGGTCCCAGAAAAGGTCCCAGCCAAGGTCCCAGAAAAGGTCCCAGAAAAGGTCCCAGAAAAGGTCCCAGCCAAGGTCCCAGAAAAGGTCCCAGACTACGTCCCAGAAAAGGTCCCAGAAAAGGTCCCAGAAAAGGTCCAAGACTAGTTCCCAGGACTAGGACCAAGACTATGTCCCAGGACTAGTTACGACATCCCACTTTATAACAAGGAACTGATGGCACAATACGTGACCTGGTTGCTTGTTGTCATGGTACCCGAAAGTGGATTCTTGTTCATGCTGTCAACCATTGGTTTGACTTGTCTCTTCCTGTTTATTGCCAAGCTCCTATGATGGCTATAGTTTCATAGATTCATTCGTAGCAGGCGACTAAATAAAGTGAGTTTATGTTCAGTGTCACACTGGTGATTTTTCAGCCATAAAAGGACAAAGGTAAAGGGCAAGTTAAAAGGCATGCTTGTTATAAATAGCTGTTACCATGGTTATGATCAATGATGTATTTATGATTACCATGGTGAAATATTGTATTGTAAAACTGATAGTGATGATGCGCTACATATTTGTGGGGTCGCAAGTGGCCCAGTCGTCTAAGGCGCCGCAATTTGCTGTGCAGAGTCGTGTCCCTTGGACACACCAGAAACCTCTGATTTCTGGTTAGCCCGATTATGTTTCTAGGATTATCAGCACCATACCCATGCTCGTGGATTTCACCAACTGGTAAACGTCTAAGATCTGCATCACTTCAGGCTTTCTTCCAACATTAAGCTGACACTCCGTGATATAACTGGAATACTGTTAAAAGTGGCGTTAAACCCAACTCACTCACTCACTTTGAGTATTTGTACATCTGAGCTAGAAGTGGGATATGAATACAGAATTGAAATGATAATCATGATATTGATAAGGGATTGGTATTGCAGGTTTAAAGTGTCTCACAATATTTATAATGTACAAGATCGTATTGAGATACGTATCACGATATATTCTATAATTCTAAATGGAAAAATGATATTGTGATACATTTCGTGGAAAAAATGTACCTCAATACCGCAAACGTTTAATATTGATAATGTGATTTTTTTTATGACAGGGTTCTCAACAAGAAACTTGCCAGTATGGACATCAGGTAAATACCTCAGCATGTTTAGTCATTAGATAAGCACAGTCAGGCATTGGGGCTGTAAGCTCAAGCTCCTTCCCCACATGTGACATCTTTGTTACCCTCGAGGTATTAAAACTGCCACGAGTGTCAACATGGCAGTCTTGAACCTTGAGAACCTTCCCTCACACCCCCAAAGTACTGACATGTATACTTTGTGTGAGGGATTGTCATTACCATGTTGGACAAAATAAGCGCCCAGGGTGCTCTCAAAGTTAGGAATAGGGGGGGCTTTTATTAGAATATTATTTTGGTGAAAAACAACAGAGTTGAAATTTCGTGGTTTATGCTGACACCCTGAAATGTTTATATACGACAGATATATTTTTTTCAGAATTTAATTTCTCATAATTAAGAATGCATATAAAATACGTATTATACAGGAATGAATAAGTCCTGTGTACATTGCATGATCAATCGGAAGGGGTTCTAATTGTGATTGTTCACTAGCCAATATATTAGAAAATATCGCCGTGGGCACTTATTAGAGTGGGGCGCTTATTATGTCGAATACTGTATTGTGAATTGTGGAAAGGCTTGCAGACTTGCTATTTTCCATTTGAATTTATGTTAGTTTCTTTAATCAGATTGGTTCGAGATTGCAGACAAAGCACACAACTTCACCCTTTATACAATCTCACTAGGACACATGTAGTTGTAATCAAGTATAATTTCATCCTGAAACAAGTTAGTTGGAGAAGGGTATTTGGCGTCACCTTGTAAACATAACAGTCAACCTGTTTTGGGTTCAGCTCCATGCATGGTTGTAAAGTGTCCAGCAGAGTGGGGAGCTGTCACTGTTGGAAGCCATAGAACAGAGAACTCCACAAATGGGCTGTCGCTGTGAGGAGCTTGCTGTTACCTCAAGCTCCTCACAGCGATATCCCGTTTGTGGAACTCTCCATACTATCCCTGCAACCAGTCAAAGCTCTCTACTGTGATAGGTGGCTACAACCATGCATGGAGTTGAACTTTGCAACCGATTGACCGTCATGTTTACAAACACGTGATGGCTGCCGTGACGCCGTATACTCTTACCCCACCTTAATCATTTTCTTTGTTTGTCGGGGGGCATGGGTGGCCCAGTTGTCAGAGGCGCCGCAATTCGCTGTGCAGAGTTGCATCCCTTGGACACGCCAGAAACCTATGATTGTGGGTTTGAATCCTTGTTCGCCCCGATTATGTTTCTAGGTTTGTCAGCACCATACCCATGCTCATGGGTTTCACCGAAGTGGTAAACATCTAAGACCTGCATCACTTCGAGCTTTCCTCCCATATTAAGCTGACATCCCGCGATATAACTGGAATACTGTTAAAAGCGGCGTTAAACCCAACTCACTCACTCACTCACTCACTCACTCACTCACTCACTCACTCACTCACTCTTTGTTTGTCAATTCGAATTTCTGTTTAATTACAACTATCATGTAATCGGTATAAGAAGATTGTAAGAAGTTGGTTGATTTTCCATTCCTCTGCAATCTCGAATCCATCTGATCAAACAAACAAAAAGGAAAATTCATCTGTGAAATATGGTCAGTTGTAAACCTTTTCAAAATGAAGTACGACGGCATTCCCAAAGACATAAACAAAAGGATAAATGTGATTACATTTGGGGTTAGAGGGCAAATTTCAAGATTCTTGTAATGGCCACACCCACAATGGTGGCAGCGAAGGAGCTTGCTGTTACCTGGTAATGGGGAGATAACTCTCAACGATGTTATGGTCACCTGTAGGGGTACATGTGGCCCAGTTGACTGAGTCACCTCAGTTCACTGTCAGGAAATCATCCTGAGACTGGGTTTGAATCCCAGTTTCACCCAGCACCACAGATGTACTTCTGGGTTTTATCAAAGTCATAATGTCTAAGATTGGCATTGCTGAAGATTTTTGTCCCACACACCATGAAATACTGCTTAAAGCATCTTTAAGACCTACCCACTCACACACTTACGTTAGAGTCTGGCCACAATGATTGTATCATAACGTGCTATTCTTGCAGCCAACCCAAGTGCCTGTATGCATTCTTCAAACAGCTGGTCACCGAGATTTGCCTCAGCCTCTTTCTGGGATTGGACTTCCAGGATGCACAGGAAGTCAGCGACACCATCATCTCCATGACAACCACTCACTGGCATGGTGGGTAATCCTGTTGACTTCATTTGGTATCAATAAACAGTTAGATAAATATGAAGACATTTCCAATCCCTACTGAGGGGATTCCTCTGATAATAATAAGTTGATAATGTGTTGGTTTACCAGTCTGTTGAGTGGAATATCTACAGATAATTTGGTTGTAGTTTATTTGCATGTCCACTTTTGGTCGGTTTTGACCTATAATTGTCATGGCACGTGATCCTGTGCACGGTGCAGAGGTCACAAATCAAGTTAAGCAACGCTTGTCATGGAGAGTCCTTGGATGGATGACCGCTTTTCGGCAGCTTGGCTCCTGAGAGTTTCTAGGGCTTCGGTCCTGCCCCACACTGAAGTGCATTCGTGACCAACTGGTGTTATTCCGGGACAAGCCAAATAGCGACTCATGCCCCTCTCATGGCCATTTTTGCGACCGGGTTCCGTCTTAGCGCAAACGAGCAAACCTAAAACAATTGTCAACTCGTTGCATAATGGTTCACATATTATTTCAACATGTATTATATATATTGCAGATGCAATTCAAAGCACATGGGGACGTGCGTAATTATACAGTATGACTGAAGACATTTAACAATGTCTTGGGTATATTTTTAGATGCAAGACATGTAAAATCAAAAATTATTTCTGAGGGATTCTTTGACGAAGAACTTGAAATCATACGCGCATTCTGATTGGTTTGTCGTATTTTCGCACATAACATTCATCGATAGGGGGATGAGTCTTCTTGCAGGTTACGGAAAGGGGCGAGTGGTGACGAATGACTGAAGTGCATACACTGTAACACATGTGGTGTCTCCTTGGCCAAGTGACTTTGTTGGAAATGTGCCTCTGTTCACCCAGCAGTGAATGGGTACCCAGTAGGATGAAATGGCAATGTGGTTGTTAACCATTTAGGGCCTAACAAACAGATTGGGTTGTAGTCTCCCCAGGGAGTTGAGAATGATTGTTGAGTGCACAATGATCAAATGACCATGTAAGCTGTGGAAGTATGCGCATTATATATAGCCTATAATTATACATTATTTATTATTATCACTGATTTATTTTAATTTTAATCTTCTGAAACACTTATCTAATGGTGAAAGAGACACGGTGGGGTAACCCGATGATGGAGTCTTCGCTCATCATGCTAAAGACCCGGGTTCAGTTCCCCACATAGGTAAATTGTGTGAAGCCCATTCTTGGTATTCTCCACTCTGATCAAGTTGTAATATCTCAAAAAGCAGCAGAAAACAAATTGTATCAACAATTCATGGTTTACTATTTTCAGGAATTATCTCCGTCCCCCTACCCCTGAAGATCCCTGGAAGGGGCGGGGCATCCTCCTACAGTAAGGCTCTGGATGCCAAGGTGAGCCCATTCCGCTTAGGTTGTAATACAGTCAGACCCGCCCCCTTTGAATGTAATACAGCCAGACCCGCCCACTTAGGTTGTAATACAGTCAGACCCACCCCCCTTTGAATGTAATACAGCCAGACCCGCCCACTTAGGTTGTAATACAGTCAGACCCGCCCCCCTTTGAATGTAATACAGCCAGACCCGCCCACTTAGATTGTAATACAGTCAGACCCGCCCCCCTTTGAATGTAATACAGCCAGACCCGCCCACTTAGGTTGTAATACAGTCAGACCCACCCCCCTTTGAATGTAATACAGCCAGACCCGCCCACTTAGATTGTAATACAGTCAGACCTGCCCCCCTTTGAATGTAATACAGCCAGACCCGCCCACTTAGATTGTAATACAGCCAGACCCACCCACTTAGATTGTAATACAGCCAGACCCGCCCACTTAGATTGTAATACAGCCAGACCCGCCCACTTAGATTGTAATACAGCCAGACCCGCCCACTTAGATTGTAATACAGTCAGACCTGCCCCCCTTTGAATGTAATACAGCCAGACCCGCCCACTTAGATTGTAATACAGTCAGACCTGCCCCCCTTTGAATGTAATACAGCCAGACCCGCCCACTTAGATTGTAATACAGCCAGACCCGCCCACTTAGGTTGTAATACAGTCAGACCCGCCCCCCTTTGAATGTAATACAGCCAGACCCGCCCACTTAGATTGTAATACAGCCAGACCCGCCCACTTAGATTGTAATACAGCCAGACCCGCCCACTTAGATTGTAATCCAGTTAGACCCGCCTCTTTCAATGTAATACTGTGAGCCCCTTCCGCTTAGGTTGTAATACAGTCAGACCCACCCCCCTTTGAATGTAATACAGCCAGACCCGCCCACTTAGATTGTAATACAGTCAGACCTGCCCCCCTTTGAATGTAATACAGCCAGACCCGCCCACTTAGATTGTAATACAGCCAGACCCGCCCACTTAGGTTGTTATACAGTCAGACCCGCCCCCCTTTGAATGTAATACAGCCAGACCCGCCCACTTAGATTGTAATACAGCCAGACCCGCCCACTTAGATTGTAATACAGCCAGACCCGCCCACTTAGATTGTAATCCAGTTAGACCCGCCTCTTTGAATGTAATACTGTGAGCCCCTTCCGCTTAGGTTGTAATACAGCCAGACCCGCCCCCTTTGAATGTAATACAGTGAGCCCCTTCCACTTAGATTCGGACGGTCGGGTAGCCTAGTGGTTAAAGCGTTCGCTCGTCACGCCGAAGACCCGGGTTCGAATCCCGACATGGGTACAATGTGTGAAGCCCATTTCTGGTGTCCCCCGCCGTGATATTGCTGGAATATTGCTAAAAGCGGCGTAAAACCAAACTCACTCACTCACTCCACTTAGATTCAAATACAGTCAAACCCGCCCCCTTTGAATGTAATACAGGGAGCCCCTTCCACTTAGATTGTAATACAGCAGTGTTCGAAATACCTGCCTGCCCGACCGTCCGAGACGGGTTGATTTCAACTCGGGCTGCCAGATTTTCAAATCCCCCTCCCTGACGGTCGGGTTATATTTCATATGTGAAAATATTCAAAATATTTCCCGATGATAAGCATTAATTCACATGTAAAGATGAATGATAAAATGTAACCATAAAGAAACCCCGTTAGCTTATCCTGAGAAACATATGATTATAGTGGGCAGGCAGGTTTTGGTCAGGGCTGGCAAGTATTTCAGCTAGCCAGTCCTGTGGTCTGGCTGAAATTTTTGGGAGTTTCATACCCTGAATACAGTCAGACCCGCCCCCTTTGAATGTAATACAGTGATCCCCTTCCACTTAGGTGATAATACAGTCAGACCCGCCCCCTTTGAATGTAATACAGTGATCCCCTTCCACTTAGGTGATAATACAGTCAGACCCGCCCCCTTTGAATGTAATACAGTGATCCCCTTCCACTTAGGTGATAATACAGTCAGACCCGCCCCCTTTGAATGTAATACTGTGATCCCCTTCCACTTAGGTGATAATACTGTCAGACCCGCCCTCTTTGAATGTAATACAGTGATCCCCTTCCACTTAGGTGATAATACAGTCAGACCCGCCCACTTTGAATGTAATACAGTGAGCCCCTTCCACTTAGGTGATAATACAGTCAGACCCGCCCCCTTTGAATGTAATACAGTGAGCCCCTTCCACTTAGGTGATAATACAGTCAGACCCGCCCACTTTGAATGTAATACAGTGAGCCCCTTCCACTTAGGTGATAATACAGTCAGACCCGCCCCCTTTGAATGTAATACAGTGAGCCCCTTCCACTTAGGTGATAATACAGTCAGACCCGCCCCATTTGAATGTAATACAGTGAGCCCCTTCCACTTAGGTTGTAATACAGTCAGACCCGCCCCCTTTGAATGTTATACAGCCAGACCCACCCACTTAGATTGTAATACAGTCAGACCCGCCCCCTTTGAATGAAATACTGTGAGGCCCTTCCACATAGATTGTAATACAGTCAGACCCGCCCCCTTTGAATGAAATACTGTGAGGCCCTTCGGCTTAGGTTGTAATACAGCCAGACCCACCCACTTAGGTTGTTATACACCAAGACCCGCCCCCTTTGGATGTAATACAGAGAGAACTGCCCCCTTCCTTTGTAGAGGTGGGACATTCTCCCTCCAGTAAAGCTGGCAGTTGAGATATAAGTCATAATAATTAATTGAAACACCAGGAATTTTGTTCTCAAATTAATTGACAACAAATACCTTTTCATGCTTACCATGCTCAATGTACATTTGTTTCTCTGTCAATGCAGAAAAAACTGCTAGAAATCATCAAGGAAAGGCGAGTGAAGACAGACAAAAGCTTCCCTCAACACATATCCACCATCGCCCATGACCCAGCGGTGCAAAATGACACTTTTGTCAACAACCATCTGCTGCTCTTCACGTCTGCTCTTGTCCCGAAGGCGCTGGCTTCCATCTTGACCTCCTTCGCTGTTGAGGTCGGGCAGAAGGACAAGGTACCAATTTACCATGTGATGTTTGAAAAAACTATCTTTTCGTTTCTAAGAAATATTTACATTGGTACTGATTAACATGGAAACAATGTTCACTGACAGAAGTGTTGTAACCAGCAGAAGGTGAAGGTCATAACCCACAAAGGCTTTCCTTGGATGATGGTACCAATTACTTAGAGGCAACTACCATGATCAGGTAGTCAGGTTCACTGGGGTGGAGGGGCGGTCAGGTAGCCTGGTGGTTAAAGCGTCCACACGTCACGCCGAAGACCCGAGTTCGATTCCCGACATGGGTACAATGTGTGAAGCCCATTTCTTGTGTCCCCTGTCGTGGAACATTGCTTAAGCGGCGTAAAACCATACTCACTCACTCACGCTGGGGTGGATTGGTGCACGTCATTGTATCGCAATTATGTAGATCAATACCCTTGATGAATACCCAGACTCGATTATTTACAGACCGCCGTCATAAAGCTGGAATATTGCTGAATGCGACGTTAAACAACAAACAAACAAACAAACAAACAAACAAACAAACAAACAAATCTTTGGTTAGCAATGCATTTTTTCTCCAACTGACCCTCCACAGACATCATAAATCCGAGAGAAAAAATCCCCGAGATGAAAACTCACATGGTCTTAGATGGGGATACTGTTTGTATATCACTCACATGTACTCGTTGACATGGTGTCATGGATGACACTGGTGGGCCAGTCGTCTAAGGCGCCGCGATTCACTGTGCAGAGTTGCGTCCCTTGGACACGCCAGAAACCTATGATTGTGGGTTCGAATCCCGGTTCGCCCCGATTATGTTTCTAGGTTTGTCAGCACCATACCCGTGCTTGTGGGTTTCACCAAAGTGGTAAACGTCTTAGACCTGCATCACTTCAGGCTTTCCTCCCACATTAAGCTGACACGCAGAGTTTAAGAAACAGGTTACCTTAATAAACATGAAAGACTGCCATGTTCTATGAGTATTCCAATTTTATGAGTAACACAGCCAGTATAGATTTGTCTTTTACGCGACCTTGACCTTGACCTTGACCTTTGGCAGCTATCCTGGCAGACGGAGTGCCTGTCCAATCCTGACTTCATGGACGCCATATTTCTGGAGGTTCAGCGTCTCTACCCAGCCTTTCTCGGCGGACGTCGTATTGTCACACAAGTCAGTCTTTGAAAGTCTATGAACTTATCTATAATTTAACATTTGGGTTGGTAAAATTGTTGTTATTCATCTATTAAGAATCTTGCAATTCCATTGGTTAATCTGTACCAACAAAACAAGATGGCGTCTGGTACAAGTGACCGCAATGAAACAGAGGATGGTATAATGGTCCCATAAACTTTAAGGTCAATTTCGGAATAACAAAACGAATGATTACTCTTGACGAGGTCAATACGCAAAACCTGTGGCCACCGGTTGGACCACCTCAGGGATTGGGTCCCTGGGCACTTGTTTTCACATAGTGACCTCGTCAAGAGTAACTGTTCGTATGATATATGTTTATCATCCAAAACTGCTTCCACAGGATATATCACTTCATTGAGATGACATCACAATGCTTTGCAGAACATTGTGACATCATTGGTTACCATGATGACGCAATCAAATGACATCACTAATCTTTCTGCCACTGAAGCTGGTCAGCACTACTTTAACACTCAAAAGGCGGTCGGGTAGCCTAATGGTTAAAGTGTTCGCTTGTCATGCCGAAGACATTCCTGACATGGGTACAATGTGTGATGCCAATTTCTGGTGGCCTCCGCTGTGATATTGCTGGAATATTGCTAAAAGAGGCGTAAAACCGTACCCACTCAAGCACTCACTCACTCCATCACTCACTCACTCACTCACTCACTCACTCACGCACTCACTCACCCCATCACTCACTCACCCCATCACTCACTCGTTATTTCCATGGTAACAAACTGAAAAAGTTGGAAGAATGAATTTTGATGATAAATATAATCTCACCCTTGAGTGTTTTTCTTGTTGGTATATTTCATGTCAAAACACACAAGGGTCAGTTTTTCTATATATATTTTACATTTTTTGTATTGGATATAAATTTAACATTACAGTTATAATGGCCTTTTCTGTCATTGAATAAAATTGGTTTGTGAATATTGGTCTCTATGGGATATGGATTATGCCCCTTGTCTACCCTGACCTTGTGAACAAGATAACCCAGCCTGCTAGATTAAGCCAATAACATAGCAGTCACTCACTCACTTACGCACGCACTCACTCACTTACGCACGCACGCACGCACGCACGCAAGCACGCATGCACGAACAACACAAAAAACAACAATAACAAAAAATTCTGCTAAAGCTCAACACAATTATTATCCAGGCCATCCATCAGTTTGAAATATTGTTACTGTGATGAATATTGTAATTAATAGTAAATAGAGACCAGAACTGACAGAACTTGATGAGAAGTTTGGCTATTTCTGAACAAGATTGCAAGATCATTGTGACTATTCCTTGTACTCATTAAGGATCGGTACTGAGTACATGTATTAACAATAATGGTGCTGCTGTCATCAGGACTACGAGATCGACGGGTACCTGGTTCCTAAGGATCATGCAGTGGTCTTCATGACGTTTGCCGCTCACCGAGACCCGGCGGTTTTTGAAGCCCCGGAGGAGTTCCGTCCCGAGCGCTGGACAAACTGGTGAGTATATACTTGTCATCAGGTATTGCTGTCTTCAGTACCACTCTAGAGTTAGACGTTAGTGTTAGAGTTGATGGAACACCAGCTTCTCCCTAATCTGAAGATGGTACTTGTTGTTACCCTGTCTGGCGCTCGGCATTAAGGGGCTAAAACAAGGACTGGTCGGCTCGGAGTCAGTAAACTGTGTCTGAGTGGGGTATTCATGTTAAAACTGTGGCATAGTATCTCAGTGAGCTAGCACTATAAATCGGCATCAGTCCAGACTAGTACAAGCAGCCACACACACACACACACACGTGCATGCACGTCGCTTTATAAGTGCAGTAATCTTGGACGCGACGTTAAACCCCATTTCACCTCACCTCCACTCCCTTATCTGAATAACCCCAGTGTTACTGTCCTTGATAATGCCAGTTTTCACAACGTGTGAGAACCGCGAACAGGCATGCCAACTGAACAAAACACCTTTTTGATATAGGGTAGGGCATCATGGTCACGTCATCTTACGTTCACCCGTCAGACACTGGGAGGTCAATCCGATGGAATCCATCTGGGCCAACTGCAAAGGGTTTATGGCTTAGAATAACACATCCTTCATGCTTCAACATGTCAAAACCCTCACACATGCTTCTTTTGCAAGAATTACTCCTGAAGTTGGCAAAAGGCTGCAGATCATGTCCTTGACATTGAACATCAGTACCGCCAATGTGATGGAGTTGATACCAGCCTCATCACCCCAGTCATTATCTTGTTGGATGACACTACTACTGATTTAGATTCTTCCTCTGACAAATCAGATATTGAGCTGTTATGATACTTTGTCACAATCTCATTAAAATAAGTTCTCGTTATCGCTAAACAAAGATCTAAGGACATCCCATTACGGGTCGCGTCAGAACAACCTTGCATCCGAGCAATCAAAGCGTCGCTTACCAGATCACTAAAGTGACAGTCGGAATGTGTTTTCTAATCATGCAACCTCGAAAACATTAACACTGGGTATTCCGAATGACTGTTTCCGTCAAATTATCGTCTATCTCTAGCTTCCGTGGGATAAACATTTGAATGGAGGAGGCGTTGCACAGTATGTGGGAAGGACTGCCATACAATCTCAACCATATATCAGAAATTCTGGAATGTTCGTTAGTTCAGTTTTCAAAATTTTAGTCGAGAACTGTCTCAACATATTTTTTTAAGCGGAGTCTGAAATGAAAGTCGCCAGGTGTTCTGTGCGAATGGCTGTGACCAAAAAACTGTTATATCCATCAGTTCGTAATAAATGTTCCTTATAAATGTAGTTTATTGTAGTTCTGTATGTCATGTCAGTAGTGCTGTGTGTCATGTATTTTCTGTTTGTAGTTCTGCATGTTCTGTATGCTCTCTATGTCACATATGTTGTGTCTGTAGTTCTGTATGTCACATATGTTCTGTCTGTAGCTCTGTATGCTCTCTATGTCACATATGTTCTGTCTGTAGTTCTGTATGCTCTCTATGTCACATATGTTCTGTCTGTAGTTCTGTATGCTCTCTATGTCACATTTGTTCTGTCTGTAGTTCTGTATGCTCTCTATGTCACATTTGTTCTGTCTGTAGTTCTGTATGCTCTCTATGTCACATATGTTCTGTCTGTAGTTCTGTATGCTCTCTATGTCACATATGTTCTGTCTGTAGTTCTGTATGCTCTCTATGTCACATATGTTCTGTCTTTAGTTCTGTATGTTCCGTATGTCACATGTTCTGTCTGTAGTTCTGTATGCTCTCTATGTCACATATGTTCTGTCTGTAATTTTGTATGCTCTCTATGTCACATTTGTTCTGTCTGTAGCTCTGTATGTCACATATGTTCTTTCTTTAGTTCTGTATGTTCTGTATGTCACATGTGTTGTCTGTAGTTCTGTATGCTCTGTATTTCACATATGTTCTTTCTGTAGTTCTGTATGCTCCGTATGTCACATATGTTCTGTCTGTAGTTCTGTATGCTCTCTATGTCACATATGTTCTGTCTGTAGTTCTGTATGCTCTCTATGTCACATTTGTTCTGTCTGTAATTCTGTATGCTCTCTATGTCACATATGTTCTGTCTGTAGTTCTGTATGTTCTGTATGTCACATGTTCTGTCTGTAGGTCTGTATTTCACATATGTTCTGTCTGTAGTTCTGTATGCTCCGTATGTCACATATGTTCTGCCTGTAGTTCTGTATGCTCTCTATGTCACATTTGTTCTGTCTGTAATTCTGTATGCTCTCTATGTCACATATGTTGTGTCTTTAGTTCTGTATGTTCTGTATGTCACATGTTCTGTCTGTAGTTCTGTATGCTCTCTATGTCACATATGTTCTGTCTGTAATTCTGTATGCTGTCTATGTCACATATGTTCTGTCTGTAGTTCTGTATGCCCTGTATGTCACATATGTTCTGCCTGTAGTTCTGTATGCCCTGTATGTCACATATGTTCTGCCTGTAGTTCTGTATGCTCTCTACGTCACATATGGTCTGTCTGTAATTCTGTATGCTCTCTATGCCACATATGTTCTGTCTGTAGTTCTGTATGCTCTCTATGTCACATATGTTCTGTCTGTAATTCAGTATGCTCTCTATGTCACATATGTTCTGCCTGTAGTTCTGTATGCTCTCTATGTCACATATGTTATGTCTGTAGTTATGCATGTTCTGTATTTCACATATGTTCTGTCTGTAGTTCTGTATGCCCTGTATGTCACATATGTTCTGTCTCTAGTTCTGCATGTTCTGTATGTCACATATGTTATGTCTGTAGTTCTGTATGCTCCGTATGTCACATGTGTTATGTCTGTAGTTCTGTATGCTCTGTATGTCACATATGTTCTGTCTATAGTTCTGTATGCTCTCTATGTCACATATGTTATGTCTGTAGCTCTGTATGCCCTGTATGTCACATATGTTCTGTCTGTAGTTATGTATGCTCTCTATGTCACATATGTTCTGTCTGTAGTTCTGTATGCTCTCTATGTCACATATGTTATGTCTGTAGTTCTGTATGCTCTGTATGTCACATATGTTCTGTCTATAGTTCTGTATGCTCTCTATGTCACATATGTTATGTCTGTAGCTCTGTATGCCCTGTATGTCACATATGTTCTGTCTGTAGTTCTGTATGCTCTCTATGTCACATATGTTATGTCTGTAGCTCTGTATGCCCTGTATGTCACATATGTTCTGTCTGTAGTTCTGTATGCTCTCTATGTCACATATGTTATGTCTGTAGCTCTGTATGCCCTGTATGTCACATATGTTCTGTCTGTAGTTCTGCTGACATGAAGAGCAAGCTGTTCTGCTTCGGGGCAGGTCCCCGGGGATGTCTGGGTCAGAGACTGGTCTGGGACATCATCAAGGTAAGGGCATCCTGGTCCTTCCGTCATCTCCATTATCCAGTGTATCATATCTCCGTCCTGCCTTGATAAATACCCTCAATAGACTCAATTTTATGCATAACAACTTCTTTCATACTGGGAAAAGCGACGTTTCGGTATAGATCCTTATACCGTTGTCAAGCAAGACTGAATGAGGGACATAGTGCAGAATATATATATACACAGTAAAAAAAGTGTTGCACCCCCTATACTTTTTCATGGAGGGGTGTTTTGAAAGGGTGTAAAGATAACCGAATTAATATTAACCAGGATTTCGTGTATACCAACAAACCAGTGTATTGTCTATACAATGAACTTAAATGGGGTATTCCATGACCTTATGGCATGTAATAATCTCATGCTGAACTTTTACGAAAAATGAACGAACAACGAAGACGCATTAAGTATGGTGACATCTCAATAATTTTTAGTGACCAAATTCATCCAATAGGGTAAGAATGTCATATGGAGATTTGACGAACACAGTAAGTCAATATCGAGAACTTCCACCAAGCACTTGGATCACAGCTTGAAGTCTTCGTCTCATACTCCTCACCAGACGTTGGAATCGCTCCATGGGCAGCTGCTGCCACTCCTCGTGTAATGCTGCTTCCAATTCACGCAAGTTCTGTGGAGGAGGGTCCCGACGATAAATCAGGCATCCCAAAATGTCCCATACATGTTCCAGAGGATTCAGATCTGGACTCATTGCTGGCCATGGAATCTGCGTCAGAGCATTGTTGTGGATAACCTGGGTCACAGCTCGTGAACGATGTGGTCTGGCATTGTCATCCATGAATATCGGTCTGGTGGCCAGTGGATGATTGTCAAAATGGGGCACCACAACTGGATTCAGCACCTCTTGGATGTAGCGCTCCCCTGTCAAGTTGCCTCGTATGGTCACTAAATCAAGCTTACAATCAAATGAGAAGCATCCCCAGACCATAACAGATCCACCTCCATATGGTACAGTTGGCATGATGTTTCTTGCAGTATAAGCTGTTCCAGGACGCCTCCATACTCTCACTCTGCCATCCACAACATGCAGAAGGAACCTGCTTTCGTCCGACCAGTGGACTCTTCTCCAGGACCTCAAGTTCCAGTTCTGTCTCAGTCTACACCAGGCTAGACGTAGTCGTTTGTGGTTGTCTGTGAGTTTAGGTCGCTTGATAACCCTTCTGGACTTCAACCCTGCAGCTTTAAGACGATTTCTCACGGTCTGGGTACTGAACTGTTGACGAGGAAGCCAAAGACGTTTCAAGGTTGTGCTTGTAGCAAATGGATGACGCCTTACCACCCTCAACAACGCTCTGTCATCTCTAACTGTGGTCTTACATGGTCTGCCAGAGGGTCTGCGATTCCTTACATCATTAGTTTGTGCGTGTTTTCTGACCAAACGGCTTATTGTTGAGTAGTGATGTCCAGTTCTTCTGCCAATCTCCTTGAACGAAAGACCTGCTCCATGAAGGCCAATAATCTGCCACTTGACTGCTTCTGACAATCGTCTACCCGGCATTGTGGGTTACAATAAACTGGGCTGTCAGAGAACATCTTTTATAGGCGATGTTGAGCTTAAGAAGATACTGCAATCTGCAAATGTCATGCACCATGCAATTCACGTGCTGATTGCTAAGTTTTGGTGATCATCTTCCCTCCGAAAACATTACACATTTAACATCAGATCCCCAAGGAATACCTACCATTAAAACCAGAGTCGGGCGTTTTAAATGTTGTGATGTATCAAACGTATTAATGTGGGGGTGCAACACTTTTTTTACTGTGTATAGTAGGTGTTAATCCTCCACCTACTATATACAGAATACTAAACGAGCTTCCGTGTAATACCAATTTTATGAAACGAGTGAATAGTTGCGGTATCTGACGAGCGAAAGCGAGTCAGATACCACAACTATTCACGAGTTTCATAAAATTGGTTTTACACGGGAGCGAGTTTAGTATTTTATTTATTACTTGCCATTTATAACGTTTTTAGAATTATCCTCTCGAGTGTGAATAGGCTGACACCTACACGATCCACGGCATAATCCGATTGAGTTGAGTAATACTTCAAACACGTCAAAAGTTGAAACGTATGAATTTAATACCATACAACGGTCCACCTTTAGAATTTTCAGGCGTCCATTCCACAAAATTATCGTAGCGTTAAGGTTATCGCAACTCACATACTTTAACTTAGACCAACGACTGTCGTTGCGCTACAGTAGGATCGCCTTGTGGAACGGGGCCTTGCACCTCAAAGTTTACAATCACGTCACAATACCCGATGACGTAATTTGTGGAATTTTGTTGCAAGTTCCTTCGGCGAAACAATGCCATGTGACGTCAGCCTAGCAACAAGGTTGCTGGGGTCATCGAGTGTGCATAAGCTCCTCTCAGTGATCCATTATCTCCACACACAATGTCTTTGAATAAGCCAAGGTATGTTGAGAGCTTTCAATATTTGTTCGTGAAACGTGTTCCGAGAGTACATAAGCACGCGTTTTGGTATTACACAATGTGTAATACAGCTGTATGTTTATTAAACGGGTGATCTTTTCACGGGCAAGTAATAAATATATTCTGCACTATGTCCCTCATTCAGTCTTGCTTGACAACGGTATAAGGATCTATACCGAACATCGCTTTTCACAGTATTAAAGAAGTATCTTGTCATCCGTTAACTTCTAAGTAATGCCTATCAAACAATAAATCAGAAATAATCCAAATATGTTTCAGTATACTGTCATCCCAGATTTGCCCTGGTTTTAATTTTGTGACCATAACTTGTTTGTACTCAAAATCTGCATCACCAGTTTTCTTCTCACATCTGACAGACTTTGATATAACTTAAATATTGTTTATTATAGTGTTTAACCCAACTCGCTCACTCACTTTAATGACCTGCCATGTTTCAGTCCACGGTGAACAAGGTGATGGGAGCCTACCAGTGGCGTCTCCATGACAACCAGGAACTCTCACAGAAATGGCTGCCTGTTTCACGCCCCAAGGGAGAAATTCTTGCCACATTCACTAAGCGGGACCAATGACCTTCACCTTCACCTAGATCTTTGAGTGCTATTTTCTTCAAGACGTTTAGTTTTATGCCACATTTTATTGGCTGTTGGTCTCTCAAGGTGTTTATTGTGATCTCAAAGGTCACCGCCATTGTTATCTCATTCCACTTTTTATAGCTGTGTCTGAAGTCAGTTTCAATATGTTCTTTCCTAGTATGGTAGTTTGAAATGCCATTTATGAAGTCACAGTAACCAACAGCAGATGTATGCATTAACTGTGGACTCGTGAACAAGGTCCACACCAAGATCTGATTCAACATCTGAGACCTGGCTCCCAATCTGAGACCTGGCTCCACACCCAGATCTGATTCCATGTCTGAGACCTGGCTCCACATCTGAGACCTGGCTCCACATCTGAGATCTGGTTCAGTATCTGACACCTGGCTCCAAATCTGAACCTGGCCCATCATCCAGATCTGATTCAACATCTGAGATCTGGCTTCCACACCTGAGATCTGGTTCCGTATCTGAGACCTGGCTCCACATCTGAGACCTGGCTCCACACCCAGATCTGATTCCACATCTGAGACCTGGCTCCACACCCAGATCTGATTCCACATCTGAGACCTGGCCTCCACACCAAGATCTGATTCCACATCTGAGACCTGGCTCCACATCTGAGACCTGGCTCCACATCTGAGACCTGGCCCCACATCTGAGACCTGGTTCCGTATCTGAGATCCATGTCTCTGTGCCTGTTCACCATTGCTGCTTTAGATCTGAACACCAGAGTCAGCCGTCAGTGATATAGAGCAGTGTCTGTGTTTATCACAACTTAAGGACACTCTTACCTCCATCAACTCGAGTTGCTCAAATTTGGCAGCCATATTGACTTGCCAGACGCCAGATTGTGTGTCAGTCAATATCAGTCTCCTCACATCAGCACACCAGCCTTCAAGGTCAGGCTTCAAGGTCAGTGATGGCTGCAGATGTTCATGCTGTGATTATTGACATATTTGAAAAGAAGCTTAGATTAATATATGCCTGAAGTAGAGACTTCAGATGTTGTCAGATGCAGGATGACTATAATGTTCATATAGTGATTTTGTAACAGATGTTCCAGTATGTCCACATAATTGATCCAATTTGAAGTCACTGCCCCCTAGTGTAGAAACCTTGAAGGGACGTAACTCTAGTGGAAAACGTTCCTTGTGTCAGTGGACACCCCCCGAGCTCCTTACAGCATATGATGAGGTGGAGCTTGGTTGGGCCACCACAGACCAAGTGTATTATGTATTCGTTTTCAATGACAATGTTCACAAGGCTGGTCCAATTATTGTATTTGTGAAGAAACAAGTCAATTGAAAAATTAACAAAAATATTTAACAATGTTATTGGAACTGAACTACTATATATATATTTGGAAGAGAAAGGATAAGCAATAAGTATGAGTCAGGATAAGATAAAATTATGTTGTTTTGTACTATTTACATATCAATGTTATTGGCTCTTATTTTACAAATATATGGTTAGTTGGTTTGTTTGTTGTTAACGCCACACTCAGCAATATTCCAGCTATATGACGGCGGTCTTTAAATAATCGAGTCTGGACCAAACAATCCAGTGATTAATATCATAAAGCATCGATCCACGCAATTGGGATCAATGACATGTATCAACCAAGTCAGCAAGTCTGACCACCCGATCCAGTTAGTCACCTTTTACGACAAGCATAGTTGCCTTTTACGGCAAGCATGGGTTGCTGAAGACCTATTGTACCCCGGATCTTCACGGGTCACAAATATATGAGTTAGGTGTAACGTGGCATATAAAACTATCCTTCTAAAAATTGAGTAATATTTATTCACATTTCACATTTCTGCGACTGGTTCACTTGTTGGCTGTGATACTCAATGATGTTGCTGTGTTCATACAGGTGAGTCTACCTGGAATGTATTTATTCATACAGGTGAGTCTACCTGGAACATGTGTTCATACAGGTGAGTCTACTTGGAATGTATTCATACAGGTGAGTCTACCTGGAACATGTATTCATACAGGTGAGTCTACCTGGAACATGTATTCATACAGGTGAGTCTACCTGGAATGTGTTCATACAGGTGAGTCTACCTGGAACATGTATTCATACAGGTGAGTCTACCTGGAACGTGTTCATACAGGTGAGTCTACCTGGAACATGTATTCATACAGGTCAGTCTACCTGGAACATGAGTTCACATAGGTAGTCCACTTGGGTTTTACAAATGATATTTTGCGTTTTGTGCATTGAATTTTAAGAGGAATTTTTTCAATATACGTACTTGTGTGTTCAGTATGTGTTATATTGTTATACAGTGTGTGGGAGACGTGCTCCAAATGATATTCTCATGACAATATTGTGACCGTTCATGCTACAGATTTGAAATTATGTGTGTATATGGCTGGCAATCAGTGCAGTTAGGTAGAATTTTATATTGTGAAAACTGTACTGGTAAATGCTGCAATGGGTGATAGTTCACTGAAGAAAGTGGCGGTGGGGTAGCCTAGTTTTCGTATTCTGACTTTACAATTGAAATACACATCATATCCTGACCTTACGATTGGGATATGTATTGTATTGTGGCCTTGCAATTGAGATATACATCATATTGTGTCCTTACGATTGAAATCCGCATTGTATTGTGATCTTACGATTGAGATATACATCGTATTGTGGCCTTATGATTGAGATATTTATGGTATTGTGGCCTAACGATTGAGATTCACAGTGTACTATGACTTTACGATTGAGATTCACAGTGTACAATGACCTTACGATTGAGATTCACAGTGTACAATGACCTTACGATTGAGATTCACAGTGTACAATGACCTTACGATTGAGATTCACAGTGTACTTTGACCTTACAATTGAGATTCACAGTGTACTATGACCTTACGATTGAGGTATATTGTACAGCTAACGATTGAGATATGCATCATATCGTGACCTTTCTAATGAGGTATCTATCATATTGCAACCTTATGATCAAGATACATATCATATTGCTACAGTGTATTGTTACAGACCATCCTGCGTAACTTCGTTCCAACTTTGGGTTTACACACAGAAAGGTGTCATCTTTCATCAGAAATATCTCCTGTCGTAATCATTACTTTCAATTCTCTTAATGTCTATGATATTGGTCAAGTTATTGAGACACAAATGGTGATCTATGACTGAGACAATTGTTCTCCCACTGTTACTGAACTACTTAAACTTAGTCTTAACTTGTGTTTTGTTTTAACGACCTGACAACAAACAGCCCATGGGCTTTGCTTGTTGAAAGATCTGACAAATATGTGTATCAGGTGGCCAGGTTCGGTTGCCCATTGTAGGTCATCATGCCCCGATGGTGTGGACCATTGCTCACACTACAACTCCCTGGTTTGCCGGGACTATTGATGATCCAGGTTCATGCTGCCACTCCCAGGTTTGCCGGGACTACTGATGATCTTGGATCATGCTGCCACTCCTTGGTTTGCCGGGACTATTGATGATCTGGGCTCATGCTGCCACGCCCAGGTTTGCCAGGACTATTGATGATCCAGGCTCATGCTGCCACTCCCTGGTTTGCCAGAACTATTGATGATCCAGACTCATGCTGCCACTCCCTGGTTTGCCGGGACTATTGATGATCCAGGCTCATGCTGCCACTCCCTGGTTTGCCGGGACTATTGATGATCTGGGATCATGCTGCCACTCCCAGGTTTGCCAGGACTATTGATGATCCAGGCTCATGCTGCCACTCCCTGGTTTGCCGGGACTATTGATGATCTGGGATCATGCTCCCACTCCCTGGTTTGCTGGGACTATTGATTATCTGGGATCATGCTGCCACTCCCTGGTTTGCCGGGACTATTGATGATCCAGGCTCATGCTGCCACTCCCTGGTTTGCCAGGACTATTGATGATCTGGGCTCATGCTGCCACTCCCAGGTTTGCCGGGACTACTGATGATCCAGGCTCATGCTGCCACTCCCTGGTTTGCCGGGACTATTGATGATCCAGGCTCATGCTGCCACTCCCAGGTTTGCCGGGACTATTGATGATCTGGGCTCATGCTGCCACTCCCTGGTTTGCTGGGACAATTGATGATCCAGGCTCATGCTGCCACTCCCTGGTTTGCTGGGACTATTGATGATCTGGGATCATGCTGCCACTCCCTGGTTTGCCGGGACTATTGATGATCCAGGCTCAAGCTGCCACTCCCTGGTTTGCCGGGACTATTGATGATCTGGGATCATGCTGCCACTCCCTGGTTTGCCGGGACTATTGATGATCCAGACTCATGCTGCCACTCCCTGGTTTGCCGGGACTATTGATGATCCAGGCTCATGCTGCCATTCCCTGGTTTGCCGGGACTACTGATGATCTGGGATCATGCTGCCACTCCCAGGTTTGCTGGGACTATTGATTATCTGGGATCATGCTGCCACTCCCTGGTTTGCCAGGACTATTGATGATCCAGGCTCATGCTGCCACTCCCAGGTTTGCTGGGACTATTGATGATCTGGGCTCATGCTGCCACTCCCAGGTTTGCTGGGACTATTGATTATCTGGGATCATGCTGCCACTCCCTGGTTTGCCGGGACTATTGATGATCCAGGCTCATGCTGCCACTCCCAGGTTTGCCAGGACTATTGATGATCTGGGCTTATGCTGCCACTCCCAGGTTTGCCGGGACTACTGATGATCCAGGCTCATGCTGCCACTCCCTGGTTTGCCGGGACTATTGATGATCCAGGCTCATGCTGCCACTCCCAGGTTTGCCGGGACTATTGATGATCTGGGCTCATGCTGCCACTCCCAGGTTTGCTGGGACTATTGATTATCTGGGATCATGCTGCCACTCCCTGGTTTGCCGGGACTACTGATGATCTGGGATCATGCTGCCACTCCCAGGTTTGCCAGGACTATTGATGATCCAGGCTCATGCTGCCACTCCCTGGTTTGCCGGGACTATTGATGATCTGGGATCATGCTCCCACTCCCTGGTTTGCTGGGACTATTGATTATCTGGGATCATGCTGCCACTCCCTGGTTTGCCGGGACTATTGATGATCCAGGCTCATGCTGCCACTCCCAGGTTTGCCAGGACTATTGATGATCCAGGCTCATGCTGCCACTCCCTGGTTTGCTGGGACTATTGATTATCTGGGATCATGCTGCCACTCCCTGGTTTGCTGGGACTATTGATGATCCAGGCTCATGCTGCCACTCCCTGGTTTGCCAGGACTATTGATGATCTGGGCTCATGCTGCCACTCCCAGGTTTGCCGGGACTACTGATGATCCAGGCTCATGCTGCCACTCCCTGGTTTGCTGGGACTATTGATGATCCAGGCTCATGCTGCCACTCCCAGGTTTGCCGGGACTATTGATGATCTGGGCTCATGCTGCCACTCCCTGGTTTGCTGGGACAATTGATGATCCAGGCTCATGCTGCCACTCCCTGGTTTGCTGGGACTATTGATGATCCAGGCTCATGCTGCCACTCCCTGGTTTGCCGGGACTATTGATGATCCAGGCTCATGCTGCCTCTCCCTGGTTTGCCGGGACTATTGATGATCCAGGCTCATGCTGCCACTCCCTGGTTTGCCGGGACTATTAATGATCTGGGATCATAC